TCACATCATTAAATTAATTCACTCAAGTTCTTTTAAAATAGTGTAACTGCTGAGATATTCTGACATAGATATACAGATATGCTAATTACTTTTGCACCATGACAGCTGAGAATATTTCCAAGGAAAATTAAAAAAAAAAAAAAAAGAAAGCTTTTCCAAGGACATCTAACCTTGATTAACTCACTTTCCTGTCTGAAAATGTATTTAGTTATGAAACCATATTTGCACTTTCAGAATTCTGTCAATTCAAAATATCATTTCTCTTTGTGGGACATTACATTTGTTGTATAAATAATGCCGTCTTTGTTCTCATGTTGAAACAGCAAATGGAAGGAAAATACAATGGAAGTTCAGTCAGGGTTCCTATTATTTTTAAATCACACAGAACATCCATTTCCAGTTATTTGTCAATAACTCAGTGTTTGCACAGCATACTGAATGCAGCTATGGCTCTGAGAGCTCAACCCTGTCCTGTGCATCGCCACAAGTCCATGCTTACTACCGACTTCACAAAACCAGAAAGTCATGCTAAAACTTTCATAGACTTCACAGACTCACAGAATACGCTGAGTTGGAAGGGACACACAAGGATCAGTGAGTCTAACCCTTAGCCTTGCACAGGACCATTCCCAAGAGTCATAGCATGTGCCTAAGGGTATCATCCAAACACTTCTTAAACTCTGCCAGGCTTAGCGCTGTGACCACTTCCCTGGGCAGCCTGTTCCAGTGCCCAACCACCCTCTGGGTGGAGAACCTTTTTCTACTGTCCAACCTAAACCTCCCCTGACACAAAGTCAGGCCATTCCCTTGGGTCCTGTCCCTGGTCACTGCAGAGAAGAGATCAGTGCCTATCCCTCTTCTTCCCCTCACAAGGAAGTTGTAGACTGCAATGAGGTCTCCCCTCAGTCTCCTCTTCTCCAGGCTGAACACACCAAGTGACCTCAGCTGCTCCTCATACGGCTTCCCCTCAAGGCCCTTCACCATCTTTGTTGTCCTCCTTTGGATGCTCTCTAAGAGCTTAATATCTTTCTTCTATTGTAGTGCCCAAAACTGCACACAATATTCCAAGTGAGGCTGTACCAGAGCAGACAGGAATAATCCCTTCTCTTGATCGGTTAGCAATGCTGTGCCTGATTACCCCAGGACATGGTTGGCCCTCCTGGGTGCCAGGGCACTGCTGACTCATATTCAACTTGTCATCGACCAGAACTCCAGTTTGTAGGTACATCCAGGGTTACCCCATCCCAGGTGCATAATCCAGCACTTTCCATCTGGTTGGTGGTTGCCCAGTCCTCTCATTTGTTGAGGTCTCTCTGCAGGGCCTCCCTGCCTTCGAGGGAGTCAGCAGCTCCTTCGAGTTTTGTGTCATCTGCAAACTTGCTTAGTGTCCCTTCCAGTCCTGCATCCAAGTCATTTATGAAGAAGTGGAAGAGCAGAGGGCCTAAGATGGAGTCCTGTGGAACCCTACTAGTGACAGGTCACCAGTCTGATGTTACCCCATTCACTGTTACCCTCTGTGCTCAATCCATGAGCCAATTGCTCACCCAACACATGATGTGTTTATCCAGCTGTGTGCTGGACGTTTTGTCCAGACGGATCCTGTGAGAGACAGTACTGAAATCCAAAAAGATTACATCAACTGGCTTTTCTTGATCTAGGCTCTTCTCCTCCCTCCACGTGAGATGTCATATGAGTGATGGAGGAGTATTTTTTGACAGGTTGCTGAACGAAAGGCAAAGCTCCTGATTTCAGTTCCTGACTACATTGTGGATTTGTTTCTGACTCAATTCAGGTGTCTGTGCACAGGCTTCAGAGCCGTTAAAAAGGGGATCCAGTTCCTATGCACTTCATAGGCAGAGAACAGATAAAAATTTTTCGGTACTTTTCTCATGTGGTAGTTTGGGCTAGGCTTTCCTTGGTGACCAGTTTGTAACCAAGGAAGGGCCCAGATTTACCCAGTATTCCCTACAATTTTTACCTAAGCCAGACTATAAGAAGAAAAGAGGAAAGGCCTTCGCTCTCTTTCCTTCTGGCGGCTTGGAGGTGCAGGTTCCCTGCCCCATTTTTGTCTGTGTTATAGTTTATCCGTCCGGCAGACAGAGTGGCTGTAAAGCTCCTATGTTTCAGCAGTTTTCATCAACTTTGACTGAGATGTCCCTCAATGATGTGGGGAGTCTGAACACACCAACACGCTGAGATGCAAACAAACAGTCAGTCGTCCACCTTATCATAACCTAAAGTGACATGACAACCAAACACTTTCAAACCACCACTTTTACCCCTGTCTTGCGAGGTATTTCATTAGAAAGTCAGAAAAGTCAGACCCTTAGAAACATGCACTCACACACACCCAGAAAAAGGGCAAGTGCCATTAAAAGATGGTTAGCAATGAGACCTTTTGGTCTCATCAATTATTAAAATGGCTCTTAGATCTGCTCATCATATAACCTCTGCTATTGGTTCTGTTCATCAATTTCTTTGACTCATTCATTTAAAAATTAATGAAAGCTATAGACAATAAAATATGTGTCTCTATTTTTTCTTATTTGTCATGTCTTAAATCAAGAGATTTTGAAAAAGCATTTAAAAAAACCCCAACCACTCTTTTCCCATGGTTCCTCACTATAGATCCACTATGTATTTTTGGTAGGACTCTCTGCTGAGCTTCTGATGCCATTCAGGAAAATGAATTCTAGAGTGATGATAAACTGCCACCAAATAATGGCTCTGTGATCAACTGATCTGTAACATAACACACCTAGCTGTCTCTCTTTGCAGTCATAGCAAGACTGACTTGCTAGGGTTGATACCGAGAATACAAGCCACAGGGCTCTTTGGTGTTTTTTCCACATGATCTTGCCTGGACTGGTGTCCATTTCTGTCCCCAAAGGCATGGGACTTCATCAGACAGAGGAGTTGACCAGGACTGAGGAGTCCTGAGGTCTCTCCATCTTTATCATTGCTAGCATCAATCATTTTAGACAAAGTTACTTCCAACACCTCAGCATCTCTTTGAAGAGAGAATTTATTGCCTTTCAAAGTATCAACAAAAGTATTACACAAGGTGCTTTTCTTGACAGATGCCATTGCAATGAAACACGATACCTGTGCAACACTGAGCATCACCTGTGGCAGGCTGTGAATCTACCTGTGGTCTAAGAGCTCCTTCCATTTCAGTTCAGTCCCATCAAAAGCACATGTCAGGGTCAAAGGCACTTCTTCTAAATGCACATTTCCTTTTCTATTAAAAATCAGTGGTTACTGATTGGTTACTCAGCTAAGAAAAGCATTAAGGGATGTGCTAGTTGTATGTTTAAAATGAAGCACATACTTCAGAGCTTTTTGAACTGAAGCTTGGAACTTGACACAACTGTTTGCAGGATGCCTGAAACAAACTGTCAGTCTGTTGAGAGCTTCTTTTATCTTTATCTGATGAGTTCAAGCACCCAGGGTTGTGCATAACTGCAGTGAAGAGAGGTGGGGTGCCTTTTTGCTGTTGTTGCAAGACTCTCAGCAAGGCTACAAGAGGTTTTCCAAGAAGCACCAATGAATGAAAACATGACTGCACTGACCAAAGTTTAAAGGTTCTGAGTGCTTCACAGGGATGCCTTCCACATTTTCTTTAAGAAATGCAAGTTATTACACAGCTCTCAGATATCACCAGCATTCTGCAGTATAAAGTCCCTGCTATGTACACTGTAATTGCAGTGCTGCTTGATATACATAAATTTCAAATGGTTGTGTGCTAAGCAGACTACAGTTATAGGTAAATAACACCTTTATGTTCAGCCTAGCTAAGGTTATGACAGGATTTAAAGCATTAAGTTTTTACGTAATATGCTATCACTTTAAAATCCATACTGTAGCTGTAAAAATGACCACTTTTTGTATACAAGTTAGGGTAGATTTTCTTGATGTTTATCTGAAAGCAGCTGCATTATTACCATAATACCATATAATGCCATAGTTCATTTTTATTTAGAATTGTACTGCTACAGAAGTACAGATTTAAGTACTTATTTCCAAATGTCAGCCTATGAAAGCAAGCATACCCTAGCCCAGCTATACCCTTGTATTATCTTCACTAGCTGGTTTTACTAGCAATATTGGTCTAGAACCTAAACCATAAAGCCTGGTGAATTAGACTCCGCATTGTGTAAACAATCCACAGGGAGGAGTCTGCTATGCCTGGCCAGTGAACTATGATGTTCACCAATGAAGCTCTTCCAAGGAAAAACAACCACACTGCGCCACATATGAATGTTGCAGTTTCAACAATACAAGGTCATTCCACTTGTCACCACTTTCAGCAACCACCTTTTTAATGAATTTCGGTCTTTGAAAGGTGTGAGAAAAGCTGGCCTTGAACACTGTTTTGATATATTTGCAAACATTTAGCTTCTAAGTTTGTCACAGGAGGACTACGTCTTAGTCTTGAAGCAGGGCATATAATTTCAGAGTTTGTTAAAGTTTGTTCACTTTCTGTCCATTTAAAAATAGACCTGTCTATACCTGCCATGGTCACTCCTCCAACTTCTACTGCCCAGCTGCCATGGGAATCCAAGGCCTTGTTGTCTGATGATTGTTAGCAAATGGAGATGCTGTATTACAGAGAACAACCAAATGGATGTCCTGTCTGGCTTGACTGGTGCATCTCTCCAGAGCCCCGCTGTTCACAGACCTTTTGCAATTCAGGATGGTGGACTTGAAAGCAGCAAAGCAGTTCAGCATATGTTTCAATTAAAAGACATGTGTGGTAGTTTAGTCTAGGCCTTTCTTGGTGACCAGTTTGTAACCAAGGAAGTGCCTAGATTTACCTGGTATTCCCTACGATTTTTACATAAGCCAGGGTACAAGAAGAAAGGAAGAAAAGCCTTCGGCCCTCTTTCCTTCCGGCGGCTTTGGAGGTGCAGGTTTCCTTGTTGTTAAGTCTGCCGTGTTGGGGAGTGAGGCCTGGTAAGGTCTTGTCGACCTTGGGAGACAGAGGTTGCCGGCGATCGTTCCAGCACAACTTTCTGTTGTCCCAAGGAGAGCAGTAAGGCATTCTTTTGCTAATTCTTTTAGTTGCTAGATCTTGGGCTATTGATCGTGTATATTTTATTTTGGTTTTGTTCCTTTTTTTTCCCTCCCCCTTCCCTTTTCCTTCTGAAATTGTATATAACTGTAATATAAGTGTAAATATATTTATATATATTGCTTTAGCTGCCTCTCTCTTGTTTCGGTTCTCTTGGTTTTTTTTTCCCTCTTCTCCCATGGTTTGGTGTGTGGGGAGAGTCTTGTGGTGAGGTTTGGGGACTTGGCAGGGATCCAGCTTCAAACCATATCATGTGACAAGTATATATTCAATCTCTTTAACACAACTAGATAATTTTGTCAAACTAGAACCAAGCTGTACCTTTCCAATCACTTGTTCACTCCTCCCTAAGAAAAGCATCCAGTATACTTGCAAGATAATGGCATTTTAGGATACTTTTCACTACTTATATTTTGGTCTTCTGACTTGTTTCCCCATCTCAGAATGATAAAACTGCAAAGAAATGTTCTCTGAGAAAATTATCATGTCTTATTGCTAAAACTGAAAACTTCTCCTCTCTTGCTAAACATCTGCTCTTTCCCCCTCATAAAAGCTGCCAAATGTTTCTCTCAGCACAAGAAAAAAAAATCAATAATTGTTATTTTCATTTCTTTCATGCCCTGGCCTTCCAGACAAAGTCAATGCCTTCTCTTAAAATATCAGTCCTGCATGTCTACTTGCAGAAAAGCAGTATGTTATTTTCACAGTCATAATAGGCCATACGACTCCAACACATGAGTTTACTGAATTATAAAATAAGGTAGATTATTAGCCAATAGCTAAAAACGTGTCCTTTCTTTTTCACTTTTAACCCTGCTTTAGTTCATCATATTTAAAAGGGGTTTATGTCTAAAGTTCTTAATTAATTAAACCAGTGTTTTTTTCAGAAAAGTGAAACATTGTCTAGAACAACATTAATTACAACTGTAAATTCTCTCCTCAATTGCACAACATCAGTTCAATATTGTATGTTAATTTTGTGTCATGGAGATAAAATTCTTCTCATTAGCCTCTATGAAACCACGAGCAGTATGGAAAAGATGAAGGAAGACCAATTACTCAAACATCCACATAACACAAGAACCAGAAGATATCAAAAAAATTTGTAGATGGCAGTTCAGAAATAACAAAAGGAGGCACCCTGTCACATAATATACAGTTCCGTGTGGAACTTTCTACCATAAGGTACTGTCAACCCTCAAAGATTATCAGGGATCAAAAAGTGATTAAACAAACGGATGGAGGATAAAATAGGACAAGGACTATCAAACATGAAGATACCATCTCTGGCCCAGGAAGCTCCTGAGTTGCAGAATGCTGAAGACTAACAGAGCACTTCAGGGAAATAATAATTTATGCTTAACCTGTTTCCATGCTATTTCACAGACACTGTTTCCTCACAGTGACAGGACCCCGGACTAGAAGGGTCTTTTTGGAGAAGCTATTCCTATGTTCCTGTAGGGAAGGGCCACACATTGCAATATGGAGTCCTTATTAAACCTCTCAGCAATGCTTAAGGAGGGCTAGAAACAATTCTGGCAAAAGGTTGGAATAAAGGGGAGATACCACATAGAATCAAAGTAGGTGAATAACCTAATGCATCTTACAATTCGGCATCCTCCAAAGATTTTAAAATGCTAAGCTGAACGGATATAGAAACAGTGCCTACTGTTATGTTTTACATAAAACACAGCATCAGTGTGGGCCAGTCAAATATACAGGATAATTAATAAACTGTAGTAGTTATTGCACTACAGGCCATTTACTCTTCCCAGAAAGGAAGATGAAGTGCCCTGGAGGTAAGATCAGATGAGTGTTACAAAGAAGGTGACGTGATTCACATCTCTGATTGAAAGAAATGTCTCCTATCAGACAGAGGGACAGAAGGAAAGTTAACCAAGTAGAAATCTGCAGCACTGAAAAGTAATGGATTACAGCTCTTTGGTCTCCCTGGACAAAGTGTGTATAAATGAAAAAAAAGTCTATTCCTTTAAAATATAATTCATTTTACTTCAAAATGATAAAATTTTCCAGTGTTAAATAATAAACAATAATCTAAGCTAAAAGAAAGGGAAGTATGCTGTGACAAAATGGAAGGAAAGGCACTTTGAACAGTGTATTTCAGTGAATTCAGTGTAGATCTAGATTAATTTCTGAAGATGGGATTCAGGGACTTAGTGAAAAAAGAAGGGAGATGAGATTACTATAAGCCAGAGAACATTCAGCATATTGAATCAAATGGTCTCTCCTTTTTAAAACACTCTGTATTCTACCAATTTGCCATATCAAGTTATGCCATAGGATATAGTTACTGATCACTCCAGTGGCACAACTTGCAACTCAGAATATTGATCTCATATGAAGTCCTGTGTTTTTGAAGTCCTTACAAAAAGTTGTCACTGTATCACTTGTGCCTTACCACTGTTGCCACACCTCAGTGTTTGCTGGTTGTACCAGCAGATGAAGAGAGATATTAAGAACCAGTAGACAAGCAGTTGGAATTACTTATGTCAAAATCCTCACAGGCTCCAGGTGATCATCTGATCTGTCCAAGTCAACAGCAAGTCAGCAAACAATTTTGCAGTGCAACATTAATAAATTGCAATTTCTGATTTCCAAAGTGGTTTACAATATATCAAATTCCACTTTTATATTAATCACAAGTACTCCGGGCTACCAGTACCAAGGAAATTTTACAAAATAACCTTGCATTGGAAAAAACTGGCCTCTACAAGTTTGCATCACAGTTGAAATCCTAACTTCTTTTGCTTTTTAGAGGGTTGTTTAAGACGTAATGTGATGTGCTAGCTGAACAGCACAGTCAATATCAACAAGTTGCAGTCACCTGAGCATAGAGTCTGAAAGCCCACTATCACACCACGTAAGGTAGCTTGTGTTCACTGGGAAATATGTATTCCTAATAGTCTGAAAGCTATTTCTCAGGTACTAAAGATCACGACTTTTCCCCATACTTTACTGAAACCCACATTTTTTTCAAATTTATTGTAGGTTAATGTAGCATGTCTGGCTCTATCGCTCATGTCAAATTACATCACAGGGGAAGAGGAGAGCAACAGAGTTTGGTTTGTAGCTTTTCTTCTCCCTTGTGAGTCACAAACGTGCTTTTATAATGTATACCACATGGGAGCACCACAATTTTTAGTTGAAATGTCTCAGATGTTTCGGTTCTTTGAATTTTTTAAGACAGTTTCTCCCCTTTTCCCCCCAGATGCTAATCAACAAAGCACTGACAAGGTCCTTGTGTTCATTTTTCTTCTCTTCTGCAGTCTTGATGATGTTTTCTGCTCTGCACTTTCTCTGGGCCATAATTTGTTTACATAAACTGGAAAACACAAGAAAAAAGTTTAACTAAAATAGAACAGAAAACATTCTCTGTTGTTTTCCCTCCATTAAGTCTAGGTTTTGTCTCCTTATTTGTGCCACAACATCATGCTATGAGTTGAAACAGGCATTTGCTCTGAAATGAGGCATCCATCAAACAATACACAATATGATCATTAAAAATACCAGCAACTGCTATTACTGGGAGGGGAAAAAAGATTTCTCATTCCTCTGGTGCTTTCAAAATCCTAAATTCTTATCATATTCATATATTGAATTATTCCTCAAGCCATGATTAAAATTTTGTTCTTGGATATGAGAGCCCAAGTGTATAAACTCTGCCTGTGGTGCTGTAGCATCTTACCTTCTGCCTGTAAAATAAGGCCAGATAACTGTGACATGCAAGCATTGGCACAAGGTGTTAGTCTAGTAAGAAATGACCCCCAAAATTTCTCTGGGTGTATCCATTCCCTAATGACATGTGATCAAGGTAAAGTTTGGCTTTCTGACAAAGCCTGTTAAACTTTCTTATTACTAGGTGTTCCTGAGGAACAGAGGAAGATCAGAGTGATCTTTGAAAGGATTTAGGTCTTCACCAGCACTGCTACATTTCAGGTATGGGCTCTCTGAAGATTTAACATATATGAATTTCCACACCATGGATTGTGCAATGTACTCCTTACATCCTTCACCAAATGCCAGTAGTAGCATGTGAACAAAGGAGAAGAGATAGGTGGGAAAGAAACCCAAAACTACATCTACTCTCCCTGTTTTCCCCTCACATTTTTCACTGCCCCAAGGGAGCACTCTGGAAAATCTTCCACCTTTTCCTAGGATGAAGCTAATCCTTACTATAACCATGCAGCATTGAAGTGGTTCCTTCCTCATGCACGGTCAGCCTCCTCTCTGGATAAATAAGAATCCTATTAAACATGGAGTCCTCTACTTGTTGCACTTCTATAATTAATTCAAAATAAATACATAAACATAATTTTAGTTTCACTGCTCAAATAAAAGTAGGATCTGCAGTAAAACTGAGAGCTCAAAGGTTAGAACCCATTTTTTAAACAGAAACATGCTACAGTTTTACACTAAAGTAGTTCCAACAAGTAATTTAATTTTTTGAGATGTCTGTTGTTAGAACTGAGAGTCAACTGTATGATCTTCAATATAAATCTTACACACAGTATTCCCAGGCTCCAGAGTTGCCAAGACTTAAGAGGTCTTGGAGACAGTCAAAATACGCCAAGTGGGAAATGCATGTCCCATGCGGTTAAGATAACATATTTCAAATTTTTGGGGGGTTTCTGAGATTGTCTATAGCCCCAGTTTTTTGGACAGTTCAAGAATACTTTGGGATAGGATTCCCAAATCAACCTCTGAGAAATCTGGTACTCAACCAAGTCATATTTCAGTTAGGTTGGCACTAGTATTTTGACCTATGCTTGTATAATGCCTAGATCAATGAAGTCCTAATCTACACAAGGCTCCTACACACACTTGCAGCACATGCAATGGATAATAATAACACTTTTTCTAGCCACTTGTAAAAAATTACAAATGGGTTCTCCATAGCAGCTGCAGTGTCACTTTTTATATCATAGTGGGTTAATAAAGCCCTAATACTGTTTGTGAATCTTTGTACTTCAGAATATTTTTCATCTGCTTCAGCTGAAAACTTTTGAAATATTGTTTCATAAAGCCTGCATTTCCTTTTAAAGTCATGCTACTTTATAATACTCTGGGTACTTTTAGGATGATCCACACAGAGTATTACCACATGCACTCGATGTTCTTATTAAAATATTATGTGCTTCAGGCCTTAGTATATAATTTTCTTTGCTTTCTTGCCAGGAAATCTATTTACTCTTTTCATGTATTAGGCCACCATCTTCACCTAACCCTGCATCCTGACCTCTGCAGTTATCTCTGCTGAAAATGTCTCGATCTTGTATCCATCTGAGGTTCTCATTAGCCCTGACCTCATGCCTTGGCTACAGCCCCATTTTATTTTCCTTTTCTCTCTGCTAGATAGCAGTTCTCCTTCAAGACACTTCAGTCACTGAGCTAAGAGACTTCTGTTAATGAAAAGCAGATGCAACACTAAGTTCTCCCCTGAAAGAATCTTCTTCCTACCATAATGATTTTTAGCTTGAAAACCCACCATACTGTGCAAGACCCATTCTGTATGATTAATCCAGCCTTCCAGGACATCCTAAATGAGTGTTTATTTTATGACATGTTAATTTTTGGCAGTGAGCTTATGACTGACTAGGTAATACTGACAAAGGAGGCTGCCTTGCTAGTATGGTAATTACATGTGAATACTGACATTGTAAATTAATGCCCTCTGAGTTGCTGAACTGTGTATTTATCTCGTTTAATTTTCTTTTCAATTCTTTTGAACACTTTACATAGTCACTGCTGTATGAGTGTCTGGGTGCTCCGTTGCTTGAACCTTGAACTAGGTAGTGAAGGAACTGGATTAATTCAAGATCATGAAGACTCCATCACAAAATGTATGCCACTCAATTTTGACATGTTACTGTATATATACATAAAACTATATATATATACATTTATAGTATGATAATAAATGCACTGCAGTGTATTTGGTAAAGGTGCTTAAGTCTTACTGAGATCTCACTGTTATGGTCAATACGTCATCTTTGGTGGGAAGCAAAACATGGCTCTGGTTTTCTGTGAAAACTGTTGAACTATGGAAACAGTCAGGTGGAAGTTAGCCATTTGAAAGGCAGAAATAATGGTCCATGTATTTTCTTTGCCTGTTTTGAAGAGATAACAATGAATATCATATGTAAGCCAATACAGAATGTGCTTCTATCAGACAGGAATTAAGTATGACAATTCCTGAACAAAATGCAACCCAAATTCTTGCTCTTTAGGGTCAGACAGCTGTCCAGAGTCCATGTCCTCCTGTGGCAGGAGGACACAATAACAGGAAGTTATTTTTTCCAAGACTGTCTTGGCTCAAGAGAAAATAGGGGAGAATGTTCCTTGTTAAATGAATCTAATATGGGTTACTCCCCCTGATGCACTTGCTCAAATAAGGGCCTCTTTATGCTCAGCAGGAGCACTTTAATGAAGAAGCATCTACTAAATGAAGCAACAACAAGACACCCTCACCCTGTTGAATAGGGAAAGGAATCAAGATGAATATCAATAGAAGAGAAAAGAAGGTGTGGGTATGGGAAAAGCACAGAGGGTGAAAAAGAGATGAGTAAAAAGCAAAATGGTCACAATCATAAACCAGGACATGCAGGAATGTATGACCACCCAGCCTGCTTTCTATTGCAAAGCATCTCCAATAAGCAAGCACACAAGCAGCCATCAGTGAGCACTATGGTCCACATAAAGCTCTTATTGCAAGTGGTCCTCTTATGGATGGGCTGAAGCCTGGGAAGACTCTTGCAGCTCTAATCCTACATGTACCTTTCAGTTATTTCAGTAAATATCCAGTAACATTAAGAGCCTCCTGTATAAGATATCCTATGGTCAGAACACTACCAAGTTACAAGAAGCCTCAACTCTTTTCTACTTCAGGAAAAGGAATATAATATTCAGAATGAACACTGCTGAAAAGAACACAATACTCAGAAAAACAATAATAACTATAATTTCACCTCTCCATCATGGAGGACACAAAACTGCAGTGCCTTTGCTAATTTGCTTTTCGTCTGTGAGAAATGGGGAAGGAATTAAAGAGGGAATAAAGGCAGAACTGCTACCTTCTGTAAGAGAACACAGAGACAGCTTTGCACTGCCTTTCCTAGGGGATTTCACAGGTTGTGAGCAGCTGTCAAAAAGCCCTGATGAAACTGTGCTTTTCAGCTGTCACTACCAGAAACTGGGCTTTCCACTGAGTCATGGAGTCAGGGTAAGCCTCTGGGCTCTCTCTAGGTGAAACTCAGGCAAAAGTTTGGGGAGAGAACCACAGCACACAGACTGGCCGCAAATTTCTATAGGTTATGCCTGCCACCATAGGAACAAATGTAATTGTTGTTCCCTCCAAAACAGCTAATGCAGGTACATTCTGTCTTGCAGTAGAAGTACAGATTTTGGTTATTGTGCATTTGAACTAGGAATCTCTTCTGGAATGTCCAACACTGGGCCAATGAGCCTTTTCCATTACTATCCATGTCCTAGTTCTCTGAGAAGCCTGAGCTAAAATACACTACCGCCAAGTAAGGCACTTGTAAATACCTTTATTATTTGTGTCCAAGGTTTGCATTCTGTTATCATGATTTAGCACCAAGGGTAAAATGAAATCTCTGTGGGACCACGTCAAGGGCATGCCATGCCAGTTGCTCATGATGCTCCCAGATGGAGAGCAAGGGAAGCAATACTATACACCTTCTGCTGATTATTAGCACTGAGATGGATGCCAAACACAACAATGTATTTTCCACAAATTCATCTCTGAATAATTAATTTTATTAATTTTATAATTATATAGTATATAGTGGGAAAATCTTATGGTTTTTATTTTCAAGATTTAAATGTATTTAAAAATTATTATTTTATGTTAACACTATATGATCACTGTTCATATTAATTATGATAATAATAGCATTATGTATGCAAAGGAAGAGAAAAATGCTCTAATTTAAATGAAAGCTAGAACCACACTACATAGTCTGGCCGCAAATTTCTATAAGCATGATGTGGGATGCTGGTTCTAGAATTCAATCATCTTTAGTATTCTGAAATAATGGATAATATTTTTATACTGTGCAAGGGTATCGAGAAGCAGTCTATGTGCAACTGAGCCTAAATCCTTTTGTTCTGTATTGCCAATACAAAGAAGAAGAGAGAAGAATTAATCTCTGTAAAGGAAGAAATGGTTGTATTTAGTCTAAAGACTGACTAACAGAAGAATCACAACAATTTTTGACTATCATGCTAATACGTTGTGGTTCAGAAGAATCAGAAGCAGGAGAATGAGAGGACAGGATAAGCAGAATAAGGAATCAACAAGGCAATAGGAAAGTTCCCCTTGTACTTTTGAACTGAGAATGTCTCCCCTGAACCTTCTCTTTCCCAATAAATTCAAACTAATTTAAATTTAAATGAACTTCTACCTAGGCTACTTACAGTACCCTTATTATTCCATTCAACAAAACTACTGTGGTCATAAAAAGAAGCGCTTTTCTTATTGAGAATTACTGATGTTTTGAAATGCCTTTGATTCTGTATCAGGCAAAACTACTCACCATTTTCTCATAATTTTGAGCACAGTTTTGAGCAAGAAATTTCAAAAAGAAAAATGTTGGTGTTTCCTAGCAAAACAAAGCAGCCAGATGCTCCTGAAAGATTTCTGTTTGAATGGAAACTTAGCACAAAATGTACTCAGATAATTAAAAAGAAAATGTGACTGATACTCAATTTAGGTTACACGTTCTACTGCATGCTTTTTAGTATTGTGCATCCTCTAAATGGGTTCTGAAATGAAGCAAAGACCTACGGAGGTCTGTTCAGAAAAATCTCAGCAGTGGCTGCTGCTGGAGGGCTGGGAGGTGGAAGGGAACATTACGCTTTTAGAGGGCATCTTCCTGTAGACAGTGGCACCTCCTTGAATATGTGGGAATGCAACATTAAGGGGATTCTGAGAGTGTTTCAAGCCCTGGGCAGTTTGGCATGAGAGGTTGGCAGGGGCATGAGGAGTGGCTCAATGCAGTATCACTGGTTTCTAAATTATTTCCATTATTACTTCCAGGAGGAATTCCTCCCCTGCTCAAAACTGCTCTGTATACAACTCAGATACTCAAGATATGCACTGAGGAAAGGTACATTTTACAGAGATTCACGGGAGAAAAAACAAAAAACCCAAGCTTCACACTAGATCAATGAAACATGTCTTAAAACAACTGGATCCCAGGTAAAGCATTAAAATATACTACAGGGACCAAACACATATTGGGAAGAGAATGGATTATCTTACAGCCTAAACAAAAGCAAGCAACAACAAAATGATTAATTAATAGGCAACTCCTTCCTACATTTCTCTAGGCAGACTCTTTCTATGGAAAGTGAAATGATGGGAGAAAGTGGTCATTAGTTATCAAAATCTGAAATACTAGCAGTCAATGTCCTATAAAGGTACTTAGAATGCTTTCCTTCTAGAGATTAAATATTTTAGCATGACTGTATCACAACAGAATTAATCCATCTAACAGTCTCTGACTCTGTCCTGGTTTCAGTTGTGATAGAGTTAATTTTCCTCTTACTATCTAGTACAGTGCTTTGTTTTGGATTTAATATGAGAATAATGTTGGTAACACACTGATGTTTTAGTTGTTTCCAAGTACTGCTTATTCTGAGTCAAGGACTTTCAAGTTTCCCATGCTCTGCCAGCCAGCAGGTGTACAAGAAACTGGGAGGGAGTACAGCCAGGACAACTGACCCAAAGTGGCCAAAAAACGTTCCATACCGTAGAATGTCATGCTCGGTATACAAACTTGGGGCAGTTGGATGGGAGCCCCCAGTCACTCCTCAGGGATGAGCTGGCATTGGCAGTGAGCAATTGTACTGTGCATCTCTCTTTTTCCTTAGGTTTTATTTCTCTCTCTCCCCTTTTCATTACATCAACAATATTATTAATAATAGAAATACTAAATACAATATTTATTAGAATATTCTACTTTATGTCAATGATTAAATTGATCTTATCTCAACCCACAAGTTTTACTTCTTTCTGATTCTCCCTCCCATTCCACCAGAGATGGGGAGTGAGCATAGGCCTGCATGGTAATTAGTTGTCAGCTGGGGTTAAACCACGGTAGATTGTCACATTGCATTGTCTACTCAGAAACATCACAGAAAATGTACGGTTCCTGTGCATCTGCATAAAATACAGACAGCTCTTACTGAAATATTGTCAACCCAGGACAAAATGTTGCAACCATTTAAGAGAATAGAGAATTTTTTAAAAAAACCACCAGACTAGGCCAAGAAATTAAGGAAAAGATTATGTCCAACAGAAACTGGATGCTCTAACAGGAGGGGGCAGCATGCTGCTTGGCATAAAAACCACAGTCTAGCAGAGCCCTGTTCTCTGTTCTGTGAAAATACACTCTGGTCTTCAAGCTGCATCTTTTCTGTTAGTTGAATTCTGCCATGTGCTACAAGCTAAGAGGCAACAGAGAAAACATAAAATCTTAATCTGACTTCACTTTCTCTTCTTCTTCTCCTCTCTGCAGTTCTCCAGCTGAATATCACCATGGTACCTGGCTGGTCATCAAATACACAAATTGCAGAATGCATAATTTTTGTCCCTGTTCCTGCCCAGTGGAAATTAGGAGATTTCCCTATTTTCAGACCACATTTAGTTTGTGGGGTGTGAATGATGCTGGAGAGTTCATCTGTAAGAGAGTGGGTAGGTATCCGGTGTGGTACTCTGCCCTTCAGCTCCCACCTGCTGCAGCCATCTTCCCCTAATTGCCTTGCAGCCCCGGAACCCCTACTGCTGCCACCGCAGCCTGGCCCTGCATACTAATTGGCACATTTAATGACTTTCTCTTGCTATCCTTCCCTTCTCCTTCTAAGCTGCTGTCTGGAAGCAGGAGAGCCCAGCTGCCATGGAAACCAAGCCTTCCAATGCCCTGAACTTGCAGCACCAGCCTTGGGAGAGGATTCCAGTGGTGAAGCTCAAAGAAGGGGATGTTGGAGGAGGTGTAAAGGTGGAGGAGTGGGAAGGTGTAAGGTTGACTGTGGCATGAACAGGTCTAGGCTGTTCTGCCAAGGCACTGGACAAGGTGAGTGTATACTGGGCATAAGAAATCAGACATTTACGGGAAAAAGAGGTTAACCCTCTCTTACCAATGTTTTTCTTCTGAATGTTTCAAGTGTCTTTCTGCCCCTCTCTCCCATCCACTTACTGTCTGGATCAAATACTCCTAATACATGCACATACCATGTCATCAAAGGGGTTTTGACAATCCCAAATATGACTCACGCATCTCAAGGACTGTTTGTAGCCATAAAAAGTGCTGATTTCAGTGAGCAAAAGGTTTGAGGGGGCCTCAGGCACAAGCTGCCAGAAGACAAACTGCTGTCTAGGCAATAAGGCTGTGATCCTGTGCCCAGCCTTTCAGTCCTGCCTCCCTTTCCCAGGGCAGCCACTGGACTGGAGTTGCATGAAAATGAAGCACTTGTGGCACTGTCTGTATGCGCTGGCATGTAGTTCAACTCCAGCTCTGTGTCCAAAAGCATTCTGGTCCCTTCTTCAGGCTGTGTGGCTGTGGGAATTGCACTTTTATCCTCAGTTCTGTCTGCTGAGGATCGCTGGCCATATAATGAGGGTAAGATGAGTGTACACTTCAATCTGAACCCCAAATTTCAGCCTTCGAAATACACTGTCACTTGCATCTAGTCTTCTTGTAAGCTTTCAGGCCAGCAATGGAGAATGTCCTTGTGTGTCGTTTTTCTAAGCAGAGCTCCCTATGATATGATTTATTCATGAAGGGAGCCCTCAGAAGGTCAATAAAACTGGCGTGCTCCCAAAAACACACAAACAAAACAGGGAAGACTTCACTGGGTCAGCACTTTTCTGAAGACTAGATGGAGCTGTTTATATCCCAGGCAGACCCATCCAAGGGACATAACAAATGTTTCAGCTCTCCTGTGCTGTCCCAACCACTTAAACAACCAGCTTAATACTGAAAATTTACTTCAGATACGAGTGAAAACTTGCTAAGCCATGAAACGCTGCAGGGTTTTGAAGCTGAAGTACTCTGGACACCCAACAAAGGTACTACTTGGTATTCCTGTGAAACAAGGGAATCTACTGCAGCACAGGCTGAGGAGTACAGTGAGACAGGTCTTAGGTATGACAACAAAGGACAGCTCAACTGTCTTCCCACAGATATATTTCCTCTTTAGCTAAGACCAGCAAAAAGAGACTTCTGCTTGGATTTTTTCTTTCAGGCATTTAATGTTGTCTTGCACCTGATCTTGCCATTAACTTGAAAAGGAAGAGGACCACCCCATTATAAATTTCAACACGCTAGGTCTATCACACATGATCTGCTACTACAGCACAAACTGGTACATAAAAGTTGAAGAAGTGCAGAAGGAGTATTTGCAAGACATAAGAATGCCTAACCTAAGAGAGAAAACTGTTTTACAGAGTTTGCAGCATTTGTGTAAGCCACCCCTTTAATGCAACTTAAGAGTGATTTTATTTAATAGAAAACAAGGTTTGAAACAGAAAATGTTAGAGGATTACAGGGAGGAAAACTTTTTTCAAGCAAAGAGAGAAGCTGGTTAACTTCACCAGGACTAAATGACATTCACCTGAATTTGAAGGTATGCAGGTAGGAAACTGCAGGAAACTGGCTATCATTAAAAAGAGCAGCTATGCGAGAGAGCTGATGCATGGACATAAACATTCTGTCTGTATCCCTCTGAGCAGAGTGTGAAAGAAAACCTTCTGTAGAAAGGGATCCCACTCTACCAGCCCAGTGGTGGTGCATAGCATGAATGGGAACAAAAGTGATACAGCAGACAAAGCATATGTGGATTTTCAAAACATCTTTGATAAGGCCCTACATCAAAGGTTATTAAAAAAAAACAAACCTGCTGCAAAGGCCTTTTAATGGACTGAAGGCTAGTTACAGGACAAGAAGCAGAAAGGAGGACAGGAGGACTTCAAGACTTCTCAGGACAGAGAGGAAGCACTAGTGGAGTCCCCAGAGGTCAGTGTTAGGATCAGCTACATTCAACATCTTCAATGGCCCAAAGACAGGAAGGCATTGTCAATTATTCCAAGTAACAGGGTGATACAAAGTTTTTGAAGAGGCTTTTTAAACTGAGAGAACAGGCAGCAGATAAGCTTAATATAGTTAACTAAGTGCATGATAAACAGGTGCAATAACTACTAACCTATGTTTACACTCTGCACTGGTAGCTACAAATTGGGAAGGAGGTTTTGGAGCCATCTCCAATACCAACAGATCAGTGAGAAACATCTACCAGAAAAACTCAAGACACTGAGCATTACCAGAACAAGTACCAACAACGTGGCACAGGGCATAATTCTACCACATTACAAAGCCATGGCCTTTACATGACTTTAGTGTGCAGTTGTGGTCTTCACAGCTTGAGGAGGATATAACGTAACTGGAGAGGCACAGAATAGGAGAACTAAACTTAGGTTGAGGCTTACGAACTCATTAAAGTGATGGATAAACTGAGGTCAATCTCAGGAACAATTGCAGAATTGTTATTAACAAAGTCTCAAATACTGTAAGAAGAGAATACTCAACAAAATTAGTAACAAATAAATTCAGAACAGATGAAAGCACTTTTTTACATAATGGGTACTAGAATTCTGGAACTTGCTGCCACAGTTATGAATATAGACAGTACTAGCAGGTGCAAACAAAGATGAGACAAATCCATGAACTGGTTCATATACAGATAGTACTGGGAACTGTCAGGAATAAACTCTAACATCCCATATCCTGAGGTCATAGATTCTGGCACAGCATAAGAAAATGCCCTCAAAAATGGCCAACAATAGGGCAGATAGCTTACAAGCAAATGTGATTTACATTTAAGAACAGGCTCAGTCATTTCTTACAAAGGCTGGAGACGTACATGCATATTAGGCTGGCTTGGGCAAGTCAGGAGAGTATCTGCCTAGTCAGAGAAAATTAGGTCAAAATGGAGAGCCTGATGTACCTATGAGATGTCTAATTTTGAAGATGGGCCCAGTTTGCACTTTGTTGCTTATTTTTATGTACTGTGTGTATTTTGCATCAGTGGGTTAAACCTTTCATTTGGTATGGAAATACAAAATCTCCCTTGCATGTTGAACTAAAACATATTGAAATGTTTGAAGATCTTTGGTATTTTACAAAAAGTCCTGAGGAGTTGGGCTTCTAAGTGGGCAACAACACTTACATGTCGTGGATAAAGACAGAAGCATTTCTGAATATAATTCATCACTGCAACTGCTCACATGTTTACAACTGTATCATTTCTATATAAATATTTTTATATCACGTATATGATGTATAACGGGTTTTTTTTGCTCTGGAGTGAAAGATTCCAGCACTATTAGGAATCTAAATACGCATTATGGAAAACATTTTTAATTACAGGATCTAATAATGTTTTTCCACAGAATGTCTTTTTAATTCTGTACATTTGCTAGACTGTGTTCAGCAAATGAGGGAGCTGTTAAATATTAGTTCTTAATCTCACCAGTCGGTGTGTATTTGGCCACCTGGCTAACTCCTTCCACATCTAATTTTATCCAAACACAACAGTTCCCTGCAATGTATCAGAAATTACATTTGACCATGGAAGGTTCAAACTGCAGCACAGACACCTGGTTCCTCATTTACCAGATTAACAAGGCTGTCCTGGAACTACTATACTAAAAGAATGTAGAATGGGCCAGCACTGGGACCAAGTACTGGCACAGCAGTTACTGCAAATATGTTGCCTTTTTGCTGACTTTCAGAAGAATAGATGCTCATCCTACTTGTGGAATGCCCAGGAGGAGAATATGCTGCCTTGACAGGAATATAATGTCAGAGCTGTAGCAGGAGGGAACACAGCTCAAGTTTCTCCACATACTACTGTGGGAGACAAGCCCTTCTCAGCAGTATGCTGGAGTGGCTTGGGCAGGCATGCAAGCTCAGCCTTAAGCAATGCAGCACAGGAGGCTAGGGGATACTTTTATGTCAGGAAGTGTTTAGCAACCTACTCCTATACATCATCATCATAGAATGGTTATGTTTTAACAGGACCTTAAAGATCATATAGTTCCAAATCCCCTTGCCATGGGCAGGGACAACTTCCACTAGACCAGACTGCTCAAAGCCCCATCCAATCTGGCCTTGAACATTTCCAGGGATGGGGCATCCACAACTTCTCTGGGCAACCTGTTCAGTGCCTCGCCACCCACACAGTAAAGAATTTCTTCCTAATATCTAAATCAAACCTACCCTCTTTCAGTTTAAAGACATTTCCCCTTGTCCTATCACTACCTGTGCTTGTAAAAAGTCCCTCTCCAGCTCTCTTGTAGCCCTTTTAGTTACACAGCCCCAGAGCTGGATGCAGCACTCCAGGTGGAGTTTCACAAAACTGGAAAAAAACAACACAGATTTAGTTATGCACACCTTCCCCCACTCTCCCAATGCCTCCCTTCCCCACTCTACTCTTTCATGCACATGAAAGAAACAATTTTAGCATTTACACATCAAAAATTATTGAAACCAAATGAGTATCTATGTCTTTTAATTTCAGGACCTTAATCTGACATACTGGAAACTTTAAAGATCAGGTTTTTTCCTACAGAGAAAGTGCTGAGGTTAAGGGCTGCAAATTGCAAGTTACAAGTTGAACACCAGAAGAATCTTGGAAGGACAAGTAAACTCATTGTTTTGTTTGTGTTTCATGGGGGTGGGGGATTTGCTAATTTAGAGAGTAGTAATCTTGAAATAGCTGTCTGGTAATAACTATAATCTAATTTGCCTGTCCCCAGAAGTCTCCAGACTCCTTTTAAATTCTGAGTAGTTGCTCTTTAAAAGGCAAGGAATCATCCTATATAATTAAAATTACAGTTGCAGAGTGATAGTCTCTGGGATTTCAAGGTGGAGCAAAATTTCTGTAGCCACTCTGCGACTTGTGTTTCCTGCTATTCAAGGCTCCCAATGAAGTACCAGATCAAAAAAAAATGCAAGGTCCCAGTCTCAGCAACAGAAGAAAGAATGAACCATTAAGTGAACTTCAAGGCAACTTCCATTAGTCCCTTTCTAAGAGAATATTATTTTTTTTCTAGAAGTTGTGGAAGGTGGATTGAGAGAAAAATACCATTCACCTTTTGGGAACAACAGGTATAGGTTTGTTTTATTACATCTTCTGGTGTTACATCCATTAGAAAAATTAGCCTTTATCCATTTCCCTATCTCCACCATGCAAGATTGAGGAAGACTGCCTGACTGAGTGTCCTGTTTGTCATATCAGTGTTGGGTTGCTGGACTTCATCATCGCATTGGGAATCTCCAGAACTTGAACAGACTTTTGGAAATTGAATGCTCCAAAGTGGCTAAGGCTGTAATGGCTTTGTGCTCTCTGTGAAAGAAGTTCGGAGCACGGCATATAATATACAATAATGAATGTGATAAATCTGCTATATATTAAAACTCCAGGGAGAACCCAGCATAATCCAGGGTGGAAGCCCCAGTGTTCCACTTTGCAGGTGAAGCTGTAGTTTTTTGACCTAAAGTGAGCTTCCACGTCACTGAACCAGGGCCACAATAAACCTTGTCACTGACAGAAGCCATTCATGTTCTGAGATGGGCACAGGTTGAAAAGGTAAGTTTGATTGTCACCCATCTTGAAAAAAAAACAACAACAAAAAAGAAAATGTGAAGACAATAGAAAGCAGATATAGCTGGAGCAGAAGCAGATCTATTTACATGTTTTCATCCTTTAAGATCTTCTTCTGACTTTAACTAATAACAAATGCAGGATACGGGGAAACAAGGTCAAAGCAATATTTCCTTCAGCCATGGTCAAACAGAAGCACCTGTAGAACTGGAACTCAACCTGCCTGGAACATGGAGGGTTAAAGTCTAATTAAACCTAACCAAAATCAAGGGTGAGAAGACTGCAAGACGAATTAAAGAACAGGTTTTCCCTGTTCATAGACAAGATACAGTCAGGCCTGATTTTCTGTTGTGTGTGTACTTTTGTATACAGTTAGAGAAGATAAGAAGTTCCAAATAAGAGCTGAAGAACTACTGGCAAGTATTTTCATAAATAAGAAATATTTATTCTCAAAACTTTTTCCTTGCCATGAAAAATCAGCCATTGTGAACTGTCTTTCATAAATACTAGAAACTCTACTTTGAATATTCTGTGCAAACTAAAGATGGAGTAAACTGATCTAGACAAAATAAAATATCTATGCTTCAAATTGCTACTCATGCTGGTACTCTGAGGAACCAAATACTTCTGACACTTACAGGAGTTTTGGTTCTTTATATGCTTCGAGGTACCTGCTAAGAATTACATGGGGCACACCGAGTCCTGTGGTCCTCTTGTACCCCATCACACAATTCATCTACATCAGATCATTCTCTTCATAAATTGGACAGTACTGTTGGGTTTGGAAGCTGTTAATTCACTTGTCTACCATTGGTTTCTGTGTTGCCATAGTTATTGTACTGTCTCCTTGCATTGGCTAGCCAAATGGCCAATCCGCTTTGGCCCAGCAGCCCTTATAAGCTGCGGGAACTTCGAATAAAGCCACTTCTTCGCTGCTGGACTCCTGCGTGCTGTGTGGTCTCTTGTCTCCTGGCTTAAGTACCTCCGGCGCGGCGCCTGTCCCTGCCACGAGGGACGGGCGGCGGGGGGATGATTCCAGCCCTGAAAACCTTCACAGAGAGGCCGGCAGTGACCGCCCAGAAACCCCTCGAACTGTGACACAGTACCACCTTAAAATGAGACAATTTTCTTCCCAGTTCACAGGCTGTCAAAGAACTCCGTTCCTCTGAAAGAAATCTTTTCAAGTCTCTTGCTTAAATTCTTTCATCCCTAATGTTTATTTTATTCTTTTGATGCACTCATATAGCACAGTTCCTTTAGACTATCCTTCAACAAAGATCTTAATCAGGAATGCCCTTGTACTGTGTTTCGGTTTGGAGAAGTATTCTGTCTACTCTGCAACCAGGGGAAAAAAAGATGCTTGTTTTTCAGATGGATTGTTTAATTAACAAAGTTATTTCAATGGCTGCAGAAACACCTGTGCTGATGCAGAAAAGCAGATGATGCAGAAATTAGCTGTCAAGACCAACAGGAGAGCAGGACCTCTACTTTAGGCATCAGAGCTGGTTCATGCTACTTGAAGAGTTCACTGATCTCTTTGTCTCCAATCATAAAACAGGCTGTCATTGTACCTCACTCCTTGAGGATCTCTACTCTATACCTGCTCTGGGTTTAGTTTTCACATGTTCTTAGTCCCATTGGCCACTTTGCCTATATCTTCATATTTATCACTCTCCTTTCAAGACCTGATGCTAAGAATAAATTTTGCTTCCAGGCCAAACTAATTGTCCTTCCCACATCATCATGTCTGTAGTGGCGATACTTTCCTTCTCATACTCTTGACATTTAAACAGTCAAGAGACCATTAACATAAACTTCTCTTGTTTATTTTAGTATTCTTTTCAAAGTCAATCTGAAATGCTTTTTGGCACTTTTCACTCTATCCCTGTTTGTCCATTAGCCTTTCCTTCTTCAGTGTTTTTGCTTACTTCCAGTGTCCTTTATGAGGTGAAAACACCAATAGTCTTGCAACCTATTGCTCCTCACTTTCTCCTGTGATTTAGGGATACAACTTCCATATACTTTCTGCACCTCTATTTAAAGAAAATCTACATTTCCCCAATTCTTAAGCTGATCCTAACCACTAATTCTCTCTATTTTTCAGAGTAGAAAGGCTGAAAAAGCAGCAGCAGAAGGTCAATAAGAAAAGAGGTACTCCCAAAATTTTGAGTTCCCAATTATTTTAAAGCCAGGAATTCTGAGAATCTCAGGAAACTTTTAAATCCATCAATACCCCTGTGAACTGTACTTACAATGGGAAGTTATTCAACTACAGGTGCAGACTAATTGCCTATTTATGTAATCCAAAGGCTAAACAGATCCAGACCTATTCCTTTTTTATTTTCTATTTTTCCTGTCTTTCATCTTAAAGAAATCTATTAAAATGTAAAATACTACCAGATTAAAAGGAATAACTAAGGAAAGAAGTGTTATTTACATATCTTTTTTTCTGATTGTGCTAATTAACATAATGCTGCTTTCCATATCCCTAATGACATAACTGAGTACATATAAACACAAGCTACCTTTAAGGCAGCTAGCTTGGACTTTATGAGTAGCACAAAGAAGTGTATGCCCAGAAAAGGAATATTCATCCTGCTTCTGAATAGCTTTGCAGTCTGAATCAAGCTCATGTCACAGTTTTTGAGCTAGCAGTGTCTGTAGACGAGACATACCTTCCATCTCACAATCTACAGTGAAGTTGTATAAACCTCTCTGTGGCACTCATTTGCATTTTCTATTTTATGCCATTTTAGCTCTGCTTAAATCTGTATTTGAAGAACTTTTTACTGTGTGTAGTATACAGCATAACTTTCAGGTTTCTCCTTTTTTATTTAGTGTTTGAGATGGAAAACAAGGTTAATACTGAATATGTGGGCATATGCAAGCTCCAAACCCACTGACAGAATTCTGCAAGATGGATTTTTAATTACTTTCAACAGAATTCCCTTTGAAGAAAATGGCAATCTTGGGCCTATATATTTTAAACAATATCTAAGCTCTATTTTGCAGATTCACGTAGTATCTATTTGTTTTCTGCTCAGAGACATATTCCACTCACTCTGTATTGGCACTGACCTTTACTGTAACACAGTTATGATTTTCCCACACAAGTATTCAACATTAGATTCTTTTCTCTAAAAATGGCTGATGTGGCATGAGACACCAGCCTAAGAATATACAAGGATACTCATGGAGCATGGAAAAGTCACGCAACTGAAAACTTCAAAATTCCCTTTTTCATTGGTGCTTTCAATCTAGAAGACAAGACGAAATGTGCTGCCAAAACTATGACATATTTAGCTCTATTTTGATCTCTCTTTTTTCTCTGTGTCTTGCTTTGCTAAAGATGATTTAAAACTCTGCTTGTTGAATCCAGAAAACAAACAGCTCATGCTTAGGACAGTCTGCCAAAAATGCAGGCCCTGCCCTTTGCTTAGCTCATAAGCAAGAAAAATCTCCTACACGGATAGTGCCAGCCAGTATGCTGCACTAAATCTCACTATCAGAAAATAACGCTGCAAAAGGACTGCATACAGAGCAGTAATTTGCAAAAAGCCCAGCCTATCAGTTAGCCTTTCAAAGAGACTTGGTGGTGACAGGCATCTGGTAAATCAATCTGGAAAGAATCCATATTCTCCAGATAACATCACAATTTTATTTTGTGGGCCTGGGCTGAGGCAGTATGAGGAACGTAGATGACAGAAACATTAGGACGAATGATTTGTAATCATCATGACTGTCACTCATTTATCTCTTTCCCCCTTCGCCCCCTGTAATATTTATACTGGCTCTGAAATAATTGCAACACTGATGTGTTATCAAAGAATATCTGACAACATATTGAATGAACAGTTCTTTATCTTCTTAAAATGCTACCAGAAAAAAAAAAAAGAGAAAGAAAACGAGAGTGATTTCTTCACTCTGATAAAATTTCTCCCTTTCTGTGTACACCATTTAATCCAGATTTACAGAGACAATCTTGCAGGTGATAAAATAATCTGAAGGACTTTCTTCACACATGCCTTGGAAGGGACTACATGAAGTTATAAAATAATTCCTTAAGGGAGGCTCAGATTGCATCACATTTTGCATAGCTTACGTTTCCAGCAAAACATTGGTTTGCGTCATGCTGTGCTATGCAAGGATTGGATCACAGCTGATGTGATTTTTTTCCCCCACCCCTTAGATTCAGCAGTGAACACAGAAGTGAAATCAGATATAAAGCCATTACAAATTTGTTTGTAATTTGGTCATTGTAGTTTGCTCATTGGTCTCGAAGGTAGACAAGTTTACATTCTTTGAATATGTACCAGTGTCTTTCTGTCTTCTATAAAAATTGTATAGGCTACAAAACTAACTGGTTAGGTCACAGTAATTTTCATCAGCAAAAGAAAAAAACCAGTATTTTGTGCTTTACAGCATTGCAGTCTCAAGGTTCCTTTATCTCTAAATGGCTTTTAATCTGTTTTATTTTCATTATGTACTCCTTTATTATAAAGGATTATTATTTTTTGTAGATATAGATCTGCAGCCTTATACACTATTATCAAAAGTCTTGTACCGTATGTCTTCCTTACGGTCCTGGCTTCTAAACACGTGATTATGTGAATAATTGAAATTACATTAATTTTAAAATGTTCACTTCTGGAACTTGCAGTTATACAGAAAACCTTGAATACAGCTATGTGGAACAGAGGACTACATAGGGTTTCATGAGGCCCAAGTATCATAGGTGCATATCATTTAAACTTCTTCCACCTCTACCTTTAAAGTAGTTGAGTTTCTTTGTGCTCTGTTGCTTTCACTTACAAAATTCTATCATACACTCGCAGTCATGGCAGTGCATATTTATTTGCTCCTGAGGCAGCAATGACCTTTTGCTTGAATTGTTCTTTAGCTTCTTAGTTATTTATACATCTTGCCCTATTATATTTCTTGTTCGCAACTCTTGCCATTAGCAATATGGTCCAGGAAAGCAAAGATACCTTATAGAATCCAGCAATTATTTGCTTGTTTAAGTGTAAGAATTTAAGCTTCCTCTGAGTTAGCCAGTAGGGAAGTGATTGAAGTAAGGATTTATTTCAGTAATTAAAGCAACCAATGTTGTAGCATTTCTGGTGTGGAAAAAAATGGCAACACATGTATTTTCTGGAATGTTGCTGGAAATGGTTTGGTCTGAACTTGCTACATCAGCAAGGATACAGATTCTTGAAAATCACTCATTAGTTGCTTCTCTGACCTGGGGGCCTGCCACATCACTGGTCTTCATGATTCAATTCTGAATAGGGCGATTTAGACAAACTCAGATTAATCTCAAAAAGCACTATTACTTTCAGAGTTCCTTGGCACATAATGCATACAGGAATGTAGCACTGTAAACAAAACCAAATTCAAACAGTCTTTCCTCAAAATTGTCACAAAGGAAAAAATGCCACAGCAAATTAAAAGCATGATGATTACATGTCAAATCAAGAGTTAAAATACCAACTAAAAGCAAACTACATTGATCAGCACAGACAGGAGATGTAACTTCAATTAAGTTCAAGTGTTTTCATAGGTGTTAAACTACAGCTTATCTACTCAGACTGTTAAACTTCTGACCAGCGCACATACACGTTGGGAAATTGCTTGAAAGCCGAAAATATAAATTTTATATGTCTTCAGAGAACTACACAAATACAAGACTAAATAAGGTAATAGTTTTAAAACTTCATTTGCATCACCTCTATCTGAGCACTTCAATGGGTCTGACTCTGCTCCCAGTCCAAACATCTAAGACACCACTGTGGCAATATAAAGCCCTGGATGAAATAAAGTGGAAGAGAAGTAGGATCCGATTGTAAATCAAATTTAATGCAAGCTCATCAAATCCTCAAGGACTGGACAGCAGTGTTACAAGGATATTTTTAGGGGTCAAATAAATAGTAACTTTTCAAAGTAAATTCAAGAGTAGGCTAGGTATTTTTCTTGAAAGCATTTCAGTACACTGGGAAGAATGAAGTTACTTCTTACTCATGTGGCTTTTCTTTTGCAGGTTTGTTTATCCACCTGATGGAGACAGAAGCATTTTAGTCACCACAATCTTTTAATAACTCTTTTATACCTGTCCTTGGTATCAGATGAATATTCCCTCATGCACCTTAAATCAGGCCTTCATCTCTTCTGAAAGTTAGGCCACAGCAATAAGCTTGACAGATTTTATAGCTGTTTTGGCTCCATTTTATGTAAGACTAGATTAACACAAAAACAAGTTATCTCTGAAGTCTAATTACAAAGTTCCTGAAACTGCAAGATGCAGTATCAGTAAATTTCTAGGGCCCTCACCTTTTGGGAAACTTGGAGAGCTGTTCCTGACAACTTGTCAAAAACTTTGTTACTGTTCATCATGTCTGGTATTGAAAAGACTTCACAAAGGCATATGCGTTACAGCTACATAGGTAATCTAAAGCGTAGGTTCTCTGTCTCCGTGTTCTCTGTCACTGACGCCAATAGCCTCAGATTGACCCAAGTCTTCCCTTTCCTTCCACTCTATGCTGTTCCATCAGACAGACAAAGGACTCAGAGGACAGTGAACATCTAAATGATCTGCAGTATCACACAGGGCTTCCTCATTTTCATCACCACCAGCAGCTCTTTGCTATGCACACATGAATCTACATAGCCAGGTTTGTAGGCTCTGCTCTATTCCTAGCTGGTGCTGTCCTCTCATCTTCTTCATCCAGTCTTGTTACACATAGCACTTCACAGTCTAATTGTGTAGTTCTTCCTTCCCATGCTTCCTGAGTTCTGTGAGTCAAAAGAGTGCCATTGTTCTTCAGGCTCAGGGTAAAAAATGCATATTTAGGAAAACTGCCTAGCAACTGCTTTCCTAGTGTAAGGAGAGAGGCTATTTGCATAAGAAAACCTTCCAGCTGGAAGTCTGCAAAGACTCTGCTGGGAGCTGATTCTGTGTCCAGACATCAAAGGAGAAGTCCAGTTTAAGTCCTGCTCCCCCTGGGTGGTCTTTCTGTGCTGTCCCCACCATCCGTGGGGCAGTGGCACGGCTGCACAGAGTGCACCAGTACTCTGCACAGAAGCCAAGAGCTGCTGCTCAGGTTTCTGACTGTGGTCCCAGAGATCTTTTACTCATTTTGTTCCCACATCATCTTATCCTCACACTGTATACATCACACATCAGATAGTCAACAGTTTCAGCTGCTAACCTTTGGAGTTCCGTAATTTGCTTTCCAGCTTTCCTAACAAAAGTGACATTCTGTTGCACTACAGTACAGTATCTCCAGTATTTACACATGGTTCCTCTCCATAATTACTAAAAGGCACTATTAGTCTGCACAAAGGCCCAAGAAGAAAAAACTACAGAAATTAATTCATCGTTTCTCTTGCCTGGTCTGTAGAAAAAGCTGCCCATAAACTTTTCACTTTCTAAAGCCCTGGACAAAATATTGACTCTAGTAAACTCAATGGAAATAGCCTCTACCAATACTCCAAGTACAATCCAGCAAATTGTGAAGAGGGATGGGATTGAGGACATGGCTCTCTTATGTGCTAATCATCAAACAACGGTTAAATTGTTTCAGCACCTGCAAAAAATAGCTTTGTAGAGCTGTGCTGCTACTTAATGGAATGGGATGATTACGATCAGAGTTCTGCAAAGCTCTCCAAATTACAGTTCCTAAGGCTAATTTCAACGAGTGAATCACTGCTTTCCTGCAATTTATATCCATATGTGTGGTTATTTTTGAGAATGATTCAGTTTTGTATGTATAATTTTAAAAGGACTTTTTAAGTTAATGAACATCTGTGCTAAGAGCCTCTCAACAGAAAAGCTTGTGTCAGCCACTGGTGACGCTGACTGTGCAAACTTCCTGTTATCCTATAGGCATACATGTGGATCCTAAGGCTCTTATCAGCTGCATACTGCAGGAGTAACCCAGTTGAAAACCACACCATATAAAATGCTTTAACAATCGTGTAGGAAACCCAAAATTTCAATGAATTTGAAAACTCTAATATCTGTTTTATAACCAAAACAGGATCAAACAGTAGATTTGTAATGCTTCTAGCAGAAGCAAACAGAGGGAAAAATTTCCATTTGAAAATTTCAAAACAATTTGATATTTTGGTTGACATACATTCAACACTTTTAACTACAGTGTAGTTAAACAGGATTTCTGCATAACATATATTTCTAGGTACTGCCTCCTGGGTTGAACTTTTTTCCTCAAGATGAACCTATTTCTTGACATCCTGCATGAGAGCCACGTTGTTGTAAATCTAATGGGGGTAGATTTACAAAGGAATAATTAGGCACTGAAATTCAATGGGTAATCAAGTAACTGATCACAGAGCAAGGTCACTCTTCTTTAGATTGTCTTTAATCAGCTACATTTTTCAACCTCATTATTACAGGTTTTTGTTTCTGCCCTCTTTACACTCTTTGATATCACAGACTGAAGGAGAATATACTCCAGAAGCTATGAAACTGTCTTCCCGTTTGCACATTTCCTGGGAAAGGGGCCTTAAATCTGGCAAAGTGAAATATGTCACAACCTCCCAGTTAAAAATCTCACTTTCTGTATTACTAACCTGTCATTAATCCTGCAAGACGGATGTTAACAAGACCTCACTGTTAAATACAGCATACTACATATGTTGGACATCTGATGTTCCTTCTCCTAACAGTAATATGGAAAACTTTCTTGGACTCCCCTCTCAAGATCTGTGTCAGTGAAAACAGATGGAAACGGAACTGTAAGTAGGACCAATGACCCTGGTGTGAAGATGATGAGAAAACTTCACTTAGGAGGTGACTACATCTACAGCTATGCTAAAAAAGATGGAACTGTACTTCCTTGAGACAAAGCTGAAATAGGGTTTTCTGTGAAGAACTGAGCAGGTTAGACAACTGCAATTCCAGATAAAACACCAGCAGTTAAAGTTGTGTAAGTAAAAGTTGGGGAAAGATCATGCCTCCTGCACGCCACAGAATATACTCTGGCATGGGCAAGTAGTAACAGGTATCAAGCCATGGTGCTAATCCTTTTTCATCAGGATAATGTCATGTCCTGGTGCATACAAGTTTCTAAATGATGACATTGTGGTGACCTTTAGGAAGCCCTCTAAAATCATTAGGCCTAATTCTTCTTGTGATTATATTACTTGAACTTCAGAGCTACTGCACAGACTTTCAGGCAGTTGGTTTGGATTTACATCTCTCGAGCTGGCCTATTATTTCCTGTATTGTTTCCAGTTGCATGAAATCATCTGTGCACGTCCTCCAGGGCTGCTGGAACCCTCTGTCCTCCCCAGCACCACACATGATGCAATGAGCCTCTGACGGAGGAGGAAAGCCGAGAAGTCCATGTAGGGAAGCAGATAATTTCCTTTAGAGCAATGGATGCAAAAATAGCAGCTAATAAAAAGCCTTCAAACTGTGCCTTCAAACTGTGACAATTCAATACACACACCTACGAGGATGCCTTGACAAGCTGCTTGACTTCCCAATAACTCTTTCTTGTTTTCTTTAGTGTAGCCTCCTCCAAACTCCCACACACAGGTATTCATCTCTGCAGTGACAGTTGAGACCTGAAGGTGTTTGCTACTATTGCCCTTTCAGAATAGACAGTTGTTCCTCACTGTAAACATCTGTATCATGGTGTTTGCCCGGTTAGTTACAGCCCAAATAATGATAAACCAGCTTTTTGTGTTTTTAGCCCCTTGCTGTCATGCATTAATTCTCTTTGCAAATAGACATTTGGTACTGGAAATAGCTTAAGTGAGACCACTCTCTGGTGATTATTTTACTAGCCCTACCTTTTAGAAAATGTTCTATATAGAGTATCACCAGAAAAGTGTATTATGCAGTTGCCAGAAATACAGCACTCTACAATATTAGGTTCACACATGAAGAAAGGGCTATGGCTAGTCGGCAAGATGCTCTTTGCCATTTCACTCCTCTAATACTAATGTTATTTCACTGTTCTTCAAACTGCTACTCTGGCCTTGATAAGCGAAGATCAAAATCAGAACTGTTAACTGAGGACTCTAACACTCACAAACATCAGAACAGTTTCTCAAAAGGGGTTTCAATCTTTTCTATGTAGCAAGAAGGTCCAGAATCTATGAATTTTTAAAATTGGCCTGGAATAGCAAATTGTGTAACCCTTAGTTTTTCTGGAAGTCTACCTGAGAGGCTAAGGAGTGCAATAACTTCTGTTTTGACTGAAAATATATGGTAACTCTATGTTTTAAAAGACATCTTTCCCCCAAATACTCATTTAACATTAACATTAAACAGAAATTATCAGGAAAACATTAAGAAAAAAAGCTACAAAAATTTAGGAAACTTCCTTACAAACCTCTCCCACTCCCTCACCTGTTTACTTTTTGGTACCATGATTCCGTTTGTTTATTTCCTTACTCATCACCAAATTGGACAAGACCTGGAATTTAAAGAAAAAAAAAAAGGCACCCCCCAAAGAAGTTAAAAATAAAAGAGAAACAACAGTCTTTCTCAATCACTAGAGGTACAAAATGTGCCAGTATGAACTGCAAAGTCATTTATTGAGAGATTGAAACCAAAAAGTTTTTAAAAAAAAAAAGGATGTTCTTCATTTGGAAGGAATGGAAGATGAGAGAGGCCCAAGGCACTGTTTGACAATACAGTGACCACGTGCCAATGACACAGCCTATGCAAGTCTATGATGTACTGTGCAGCATGTTTTCATTAGAGGGTGAGAAGTACCTCTAATCCGAGAATGGGCAAAATCTGATTTGGAAAATATTATTCACAGTTCAGGTGATGTCTGTAGCAGAAAGAGACACCAAAACTGCTCTTTCACACACTGAAAGTCATTGGAGAAGGCTACTGTGAAGAGAAGAAAAATGAAGAAACTTTTTTTCCTGACAGTGGGCCTTCTTTAACCCTCTAAAACAGTCTGATAAGGGACAGGAATACTTTCTCTAAATACACTTGTGATTTAAGGGCTAGAAAGGGAGGAGAATAATGTGATCAAGTAGGTGTATATTGGTCATGAGTTAATTCAGACTGCTGATTTAAAAAAAATGCATCTGTTAGGACAGAGAGACTGTGGTACAGGTGTCTGGGGAAAAGTGCTGGCAGCAGGATCCTACTTATTTGCAGCATCCACTTCAGCGGAAGCGGCTGTGTGACAGGACAGGAGTGATTCAGGAGTTAGAAATCCAGGCTTCAGAAACACAAGACTGATCCTATCCAATTTTGTGGTATACCTGAGAGACATTTGAGAAGAACCCTGTCAGTGTTTTGCAGGTTGCTCCTTATTCATTTATTTAACTAAAGTCTTTCTTCAGGACTTGCACTGGTTACCTGCCTTTTTGTTTTCCCTCTTGTTGTATTATTTGGCTCTGGGTCAGCTTCAGTTTCCACTTTGCTCCAAGGCACTTAGGACAGGTGACACAGCCAGATGTGCTCTGAAGGGCATCACCAAATTCCAGTTATGTCACTGGCTGGTGCAGCTGGCTTGGGCCCACCTAGTGTTATACAGTTTGCCAGCTCGGCAGGTGATTTTCAGAGGAAAGACTGATGGGGATTGCTGTCACCTCCTGCTGTGTGTCAGGTGTGACTGACTTCCTAAAATCTCTCAGGAATTTTTGCCAAGCATAGTCTCTCTTTAGGGGTTTAGGACACTGTTGACACTCTTGACATCTTTTTTTTCCCCTGGTAGACTGAAATTTTTATGGCGTTTGGTGCCTTACATAGAAGGGGCTAAAGTATTAGTGAGTGTTGGGGTTTTTCGTGTAGCATGACGAGGTCTCAGGTTCTTATTGCTCCTATCCTTAACTCCTACTGCATGGCTTCCTGCAAGAGTGGAAGGCTTAGGTTCAGTAACCTATACCTCTTTTTCCAATCTGAACATAATGAATATCTCCTTAAATAGCAAAACACGGTACAAAATATGCAGAAGACTTTAAAGAGAAATGGGGTCATTTATACTTTATCCTCAGAACTGTATCCTTTATACTGAACTGCATCCTCTTGGTCTTCTACCTCATCTGTGCCAGCAGTGGAAGAAACTAATTTCAAGAAGGAGGATCCCAGAAATCACAGGCCTGTTAGTCTCACTTCAGTGTCAGGTAAAGTTATGAAGAATGTTATTCTAAAAGTATTGAAGGATGCCTGAAAAGCAATGTAGTCTTTGGTCACAGCCACCATGGCTTCATGAGACGAAAATCTTGCTTATAAAATTTCCTTTTATGACAAGGCCACTCACCTGGCTGATCAAGGAAAGCCAGTTGATATAATCTTTTTGGATTTCAGTAAAGCTTTCAATACTGTCTCTCACAGGATCCATCTGGACAAAACGTCCAGCACACAGCTGGATAAACACATCATGTGGTGGGTGAGCAATTGGCTCATGGGTCGAGCACAGAGGGTAACAGTGAATGGGGTAACATCAGACTGGTGACCTGTCACTAGTGGGGTTCCACAGGACTCCATCTTAGGCCCTCTGCTCTTCCACTTCTTCATAAATGACTTGGATGCAGGACTGGAAGGGACACTAAGCAAGTTTGCAGATGACACAAAACTTGAAGGAGCTGCTGACTCCCTCGAAGGCAGGGAGGCCCTGCAGAGAGACCTCAACAAATGAGAGGACTGGGCAACCACCAACCAGATGGAAAGTGCTGGATTCTGCACCTGGGATGGGGTAACCCTGGATGCACCTACAAACTGGAGTTCTGGTCGATGACAAGTTGAATATGAGTCAGCAGTGCCCTGGCACCCAGGAGGGCCAACCGTGTCCTGGGGTAATCAGGCACAGCATTGCTAACCGGTCAAGAGAGGGGATTATTCCTGTCTGCTCTGGTACAGCCTCACTTGGAATATTGTGTGCAGTTTTGGGCACCACAATAGAAGAAAGATATTAAGCTCTTAGAGAGCATCCAAAGGAGGGCAACAAAGATGGTGAAGGACCTTGAGGGGAAGCTGTATGAGGAGAGGATGAGGTCACTTGGTGTGTTCAGCCTGGAGAAGAGGAGACTGAGGGGAGACCTCATTGCAGTCTACAACTTCCTTGTGAGGGGAAGAAGAGGGATAGGCACTGATCTTTTCTCTGCAGTGACCAGTGACAGGACTCAAGAGAATGGCCTGACTTTGTGTCAGGGAAGGTTTAGGTTGGATATTAGAAAAAGGTTCTCCACCCAGAGGGTGGTTGGGCACTGGAACAGGCCCCCCAGGGAAGTGGTCACAGCAGAGTCACAGCCTGGCAGAGTTCAAGAAGTGCTTGGATGATACTCTCAGGCACACGCTGTGACTGTTGGGGTTGAACCTGTGCAGGGCTTAGAGTTGGACTTGATGATCCTTGCGAGTCCCTTCCAACTAGGCATATTCTGTGATTCTGTAATTTGTGAACCTCTCTACTGTTTAGGGCAAACTAGGCCTAAAGGAAGATGGAAACATCACTAACAGCCCCAGCCTTTTGACAGAGTTTTGAGTGATTTGTACAAGCAGAGGAAGAGAGTCCTTATTTTCTCCACTGTTCCTTGTGCTGTTGCATAAAGGCAAGTAGGTTATACAATAACTAAATAGGGATTACACAACTGAGCTCCATAAATCTAAATCAGAAACAGAGTCCCTATCCTGCACTGGACAAACAAAAACGTGGAAGGGTGAAGTTCTGGTCCTAATGAAGTTAATGGCAAAACTCTTGCTTAGTCTTGTGAGATCACAGTTTCATCCAAAATCTTGTCTCAAGCCTGTAGTTGGCTGACCAGGCTGGATATTTAAAACATATCCCTGTTGAGTGTTTCCAAGTACTGGACAAGATGACTTCTTTTTTTTCTTTTTTTTTTCTTTTTTTTTAAGCTTTTTGCTTATGATAAAGAAATGCAGAAAATATTTTAAGACCAAGTACTAAGCAACCACTTGCAAACCTGAACTGGAAGACTAAAAGGCCCTGATACATTATCTCTGAGTGCAAGAACAAATAATAACAAAGTAGTTGTTTCCATGATTCAGCGTCAATACTTTAAAGCACTGAAAGCTGCTTTGAAGCAATACCTGTGTATCTGAGCGAAAGACGAGAAACTCTGACCTGTGGAGGCTGGGAATCAAACAACAAAAACCAGTCACCAACAAAACAAATAAAAGACCCTAATGAACCTGAGACCCAAGCTCTGCAAGTAAATAACTTTGTGAAAGGATTCTTTGTGCTACAAGAACTGCAGTGCAGCATAGTGTCACTGGAGCTGTTTGGCACACAGGCCAAACCAATTATTTGACAGTTGTTTTACTTTGGCCTGGGGTGGACAGTAGTTCTGGGTAAGAAAAGTCTTTGCAGTTTTTTCATGTCCCCAGGCTCATCTGGTCTGATTATTGAAAACTATTGCTGTTACAGTGGATGCTAGCATGTACATAAGGGCTTCCCCCACCTACAAGACTCCTGCCCAATGAAAAAGAAAGGAAAAAAGAACTGGGGAGAAAGAAGAAAGCTTGTGCAATCAGGGCCACACATCACATGCATTCCCAGCCCAAGGCTTAGCTCTCTCCCCGTCTTCCCTGAGGTATCTCTCAGGAACTGAGCTGATTCAATGTATAATGTCGTTTACAAGCTAACAGTGCACAATGACTTGGGATCATCCTTATCTTACAGAAGCAAGTGATAAATAATCTTGGGCAAATCTAACATCACGACTGGGTGGGAGGATCCCGAAAAACCAATTCCAATGTATCAATAAACACAAACGCCAAACCACTTATTGCAGAACATTTTGGAGTTGTGTAAATCCCTCCAACAAGCATCAGATAAAGCTGTCAGGGTTGGGGATTAATTGCTTCTCCGTATGTGTTTAACCCTGAGCAGTTAAAAAGACTTAGCCTGCTACAAACAACTGGCTATGGTAGGTCAGTGCCATTCCAGTATTATCGCTGACTTAGGCCTGCCATGGATGTAATTCTCCAGGCAACCATCTGGGAAGTTATCATTGCCTTGACTATTTCAGGACCAGGCTCTGATCAGCTCACATATGGCCCAAGCAGGGCAAGCCAAAACCTCACAGGTTCAACTGTAACTTCCAACTTTTATCACTGCAAAATACAATGGTGTGGCAGGCTGTGGCTCTGTCCCTCCTCTGCACCAGTTACAAAGTAGCTGGAACATGAGCGGCCAGATAAATGATCCTTTTTTTTTTCTTACTGTGTAGAACAAATAACTACCCAGCTTGAAGTTTCATATCCAACCATCTCCCTGAAAGCTTACAACATCAACTTGGATGTAGCCATGTTATTTTACATTATCCCCTCTGACACTTGTTTACTTCCTTCTCCCTTCATTCATGTTTGTGTCTTTTACTAACAATTCTTTACATTTACCTTTCCCACCTTACTTGTTCCCTCCCTCACATCCATGCACCCTCTTCGCACTACTCCCTCTTCCTTTTCCTTTGTTACATAGTGGACCACACAGAACCCCTCCTTGACCTCAAAAGTAAGTGATGATGATGGAGAGAAGAAGGAAAGAAGAGAGTGATTCTGTATAAGAGGCAGTGGGAAATGCAGTGTACCCCTTGAACGAGGTCTTTTGAGAGGTATCGAAGGACTATCCGGGTTACACAGAATTTCCTTTGGTGAACTGCTGCTTTCTCCAGGTCATGGGTCTTGTTCTAAATCCATGTTTCACTGGGTAGAAGATTTGCTTGAATACTCATGTGTAAGACTCAAGGATTAAATCTAGAGGTATATGAGCAGGTAAGATGATGCCACAGTCAGTACATTATCATGCACCTAAGTCAGGCCTCAGTTGTTTCCTGGAAATCCCTATGATTACTGAGCTTCTATCCCTTTTTGCAGGTAGTTTTTATGTAGCAGGGAGTTACTATTTTTTTCCCAAAAATAAGCAGTGCATATGTTTAAAAATGCTGCCTCTGATAGTAAAGATCTTTGCAACAGTCACTGTTCAGCATACACATTCATTCTTAAGTGTAACAGCTAACATGGTAAACACTGAAGTACAGAACAGAGATGCCTTCAGTCCCAACAAGTATTGCAAAAATGCAATATGCAAAATCAGATGCAAAATAAGAAACCCTGGCCCTTGGTGTTCACCGGTGTCTTTGCAAACAGAGGCACTGATTACCATCCTGTATATTTTTTCTAAGTTCTAAAGTGCAGTCAGGCTTGTTTTACATTGATCAAATAACTCGAAGTGCCAAGTTTCCAAAATAACAATTTATAAGAGGAATCTGGATCATATGCTTACTAAATACTAGGTTTGTCTTTGAAAGAAAAGACCATTAACAGGGGAGACTTACTTCTCAGTTGTCAAGTGAATTAGCATTCATCAATAATTCTTGTGTGTAGTTTCCTTTGCCCTGTTCAGCCTCAGCCAGATGTAGAGACAATTTCTTTCCAGATGTGGTAGTTTGGGCTAGGCCTTCCTTGGTGACCAGTTTGTAGCCAAGGAAGGGTCCAGATTTACCCAGTATTCCTTACGATTTTTACATAAGCAAGACTATAAGAAGAAAGGAGGAGAGGCCTTCGCTCTCTTTCCTTCCGGCGGCTTGGAGGTGCAGGTTCCCTGCTGTTGAGTCTGCCATGTTGGGGAGCAAGGCCTGGTAAGGCCTTGTCGACCTTGGGAGGCGGAGGTTGCCAGCGATCGTCCCGGAGTGACTCTCCGTTGTCCCAAGGAGAGTGGTGGGATATTTCTTTGCTAACTTTAGTTACTAGATCTCGGGCTACTGACCGGGATATATATATATTTTATTTTGGTTTTGTTCCCTTTTTCCCTTTCCCTTGTGAAATTGTATATATTTTAATTGTATATAATTGTAATATAAGTATAAATATATTTATATATATCACTTTAGCTGTCTCTCTCTCGTTTCGGGTTTTCTTGGTTGTTTTTCTCCCTCTTCTCCTCCCTGAGGTTTTGGCGGGGGGGCACTTCTTGTAGTGAGGTTTGGAGACTTGGTAGGGAGCCAGCTTCAAACCATATCACCAGACATCCCACAAACACTGATGCTGAGGTGACACTCTTCTTTACTAACACAGCAGTCCAAACTGAGTGGCTAAGAAAGAGGCCTTTATTTTATCTCTAAGGAATTCACTGGCAACAAGTCATGTGAGAAGCAGATACATAACATGTGGTTAAAGATGATGAGTTAGTTTATCTTACAGGATAAACTCTAGGGTTTGTAAATTAACAGCTTGGCCACGGATTGCCTTTCCCAAGCTACAAACACCTGACAGCTTAAGTTCCAATCATGAAATTACAAATGTGATAGCAAACAACAAATGCTGTCAACTACATGATTTGCCACATAGCACCAAGACAGTGTCAACAACAGTAATTAATGCACACAGTTATGTTTATCCCAGCAATTCTAGAAGGTCTTTGGAAACTTCAGACATCATTTTATGGCAACCACGTTCAGCAAAACCAGCAAGAATGAACAAGCACAACCAGCTATTCCTACCCTCTGCAAAACAACTTTTCAACCATAAGAAGTAGGTCTAAAGCCCTGGCTTAAGGCAGTGTGGTGGGGGGAAACAGTTTTCCCCCTGAAGTTATAAAACAGTAAAACACCAGGGGGTGGTCACCCTTGAAGTTTTGAAGTTTTACCCAATGAGTGCTTCTGCAAAATATAAATATATCACAAGCAGAATGGAAGAGAAGGTAGTTGTTGAAGAAGTAGCCATGTTGTGCAACAAACATGCAGCCAAGGAAGACACAGAGTTGTCTGAGAGAGCCGAGAGAGAGCCAGCAGCAGAGAGAGCACAACTAAGCTCTACAGAGATGGAGTTGGGGTAAGAAACTGAACCAAAAACCCAAAACTCCTTTTGTGACCTTTCCTAAGTGGAAATCATGGGCTCCTACTGAATGGAAGTCCTAAAACTCCAGCAGAACTGCAGAAAAGAGCTGAAAAGCTTAGGCGTCCTTGAAAGCTGGACCGGGACGATTAAAGGAATGTGGAGGGGGTGACGTTGGCCCCCCTCGCTGCCACTGTTAAGCTAAGCTAGCAGCCTGAGATCAGAGCACAGAAGCTCTGATAGAATGGTTGAGGCAAAGACTTTCAACTGAAAGCTACCCTAACGTTCTGACTCAGAGGTAGATCCCCCGAGGAAGGGACTTTCACAAAGATGCCCCGGCACTTCGTGATACGCCCGTCATGAAGCGAGTTTTGTCCCTGCTGGTAGTCCATGGGTGAGACCTCTGACTGGAACCGAAGAGCTGAGGGAGGGAGAGGAGACCCCCCTCATGTGTACTGGCAGAGATCCAGCTACAGCTGCTGCATGGAAGAGAGAAACAGAGAACCTGCTGCCTTAGAGACATTGCTGCTCTGACAGTGGAAAGGGATCTTTTCCTTCTTCCCTCATGGACTTTTATTTGGAGGGGAGAAGAGATTTGATCCATTGTAAATACTTCTATGTCATGGTAGAGATAGCTAAGATTGCATATAATGTATTGTAGTATTTATTTGTACAGTCATTGTAATATATTCCCTTTCCCCCATTCTGAGTCTTGTGTGGTGTCTGGAAAACCAGTCTCACATTGGGTTGAGATGTGGGAGGAGGCTTGGACTAGGGAATTGGATTTTTGAGGCTCTCAAACCACAACAGGCAGGAAAAGCTTAATGACAGCTTTTCAGGTGCTGAGTGTATAAAAATTTCTCACATAGTTTCTTCTTGAGTAAAATAACTGGTCATGCTGTTGTCCAGTACTTACACTTTCTCTAGTTAACTGAAACATTCTAAATCTCCCCAAAGTCAAAATTTCCATTTGTCTTTGCCAAATTTAAGAACATATTTTAATAACTTCAAAGTGTTGAACCAAATTCGATTACCAACTCTTCATTTTTGTCTGCTGCTTTTTCTTCACTAAAGCCAGTGCAAAATTTTTGCCCAGAGAAAAAGACCTTTCTGTGATTTAATTATCAAAATCTAAACCCAACATATATAAAAAACAAGACATAACAATCTTACCCTGACTAACTCTCCAAATTTACCAAAACTTTTTAACTCAAAACCAGGTTCTCCATATGCCAGCCTCTAAATTACTTGACGGACAGATGGTTGAGTACAAAAGCAGTATCAGTCACACCAATGTGGTAATAAGACTGAACAGGACCTAGATTATTTCCTATTACAGCAGTTCACTTACCCGATAGTAGTCTGTGCTGTACACATCCCTAGACATCCCAAAATCCCCAATCTTCACCAGCAGGTTTTCACCAACCAGACAATTCCGGGTAGCAAGATCCCGATGTACGAAGTGCTGTGATGCCAGGTAAACCATACCAGATGCAATCTGCTGGGCAATGTGAAGCATCTGGGATTGGGTCAGCTCAGCAGGACGGTTGCCTTCTGCCATCAGTCCTGCATCTGGTCCATGCGCCCTGCACCAAAACACAAGCGGATAAACTGACAGGCCACTTGTAAAATGGAGAGGTAAAGGGCATTAGTGAGTTTAAATTGATGCCTTAAGCCCTTAATGTTTTTTTTTTATTTTTCTAATATTGGTAAACCTTATAAGTTTTATAAGCATATTTTAAAAGCAGCAACCCTCCCTTGTCCCTTTCCCTTTCCCTGTAGCACCCTTGTTTACACATTCCTTAACCCTCTTACCCCATTCTATGCTCCCTATATCAGTCCTACCCCTGAATCCAGTAGAAATGTTTAGTCTTTTGTCAAGGCAAGGCCTAGAATGTTGGCAGAATAGCATATCAGGGCCTGAACAACAAAATGAAGTCAAGAATTAGGTAACTATGTACCCTTTGTGCTCTGAAGAAGATGAAGATGGGATGAACAGAGGGTCCCAAAATACACCCCAGACCCATTTTCAGGGGGTGGACCTGGGGTGGTCCAGAGCAAAGGCCACAGGGTAGACACATTTGGGATTGGATGGATGGTATTATAAAATGTAACGTCTCAGGCATGGCCTGCGCGCGTCTTGTAACATCTTTTGCCTTGGCATAATAAACCCTTTCTTATCTCACCCCTAATTAACTGCTCCGGAGATTTTTTTCAGCACCTAAATTCCACGGCATCAAAATCTACACAATGCAGTCAAAAGGGCTACAAATTCCTTGGTGAAACAGGGAAAAAATTGTATCTTGGCTTTTTTCATTTGCTGTTTCCTTCATTGTGGGAAAGATAGGTGGTGTGAAGAGCCTTACACAATAGGATATGTATTACTCAAGGAAATAAGCCACATGTGTTCACAATAATACCCATCTGTCAGAAAACACCACCTTTCTCCTGTTCCAATCTAGTACTCCAGAGAAAGGCTGACAAAAACACCTGTTTAGTAACACTATAAGTGTGAAAGACAATTGAGGGAAAGGCAATGAAGTGGCATGCATAGCATCACCTTTCCTATGATTGGCATGCCTTGATTTCTAGAGGGAGACACGACATTGACCCCTTCCATCTTTTCTTTAAGAAGAAAAAGTTCACTTCCTTCTGAGAAACAAGGGCAGCAATCTTAGATTTATACTTCTAGTTTCCTATCCAAATGCACAGCAGGAAAGAATTTTTGCTTATTTCATCACCAAGGGTGAGTCTTATCTGAGATGGGAATTCCTGAGGATAGGATGAGGACACAAAACACACATTATTTGAAACACCAAAAAACCAGCTTCAGAAATACAAGCTAGCAAGTCTCTAAGATGCAACAATCAACTGATTAAGGAGAATACTTCTATGCACTCCAGCAAAAACAGAGAAGTTTTGCATTAGAAAGGCCCAGCGAAGTACTGGGACACATGTGCTTCACCCATCTTAACTATGTTAGCTCTGAAATGCATGTACATCCTAGTATCTTGAAGATACTATATGCACAACATTTTACAGTAAGAATTACTAGCTAATCCTTATCCAGTTAGCAGGATCATCTGGCAATCATTCTTCATTTGATACAGCTTATAATATTCTGAATACCCTCTCCCTTTCATTCAATTTTCCTGTGTTTTCAGAAGCCTTTTTTACTCCTTTTCGGAAGACTATTCTTTCTAAGAGACCACCTCTCTTTTTCCCTCATCAACTTTTGCTTTTGAAAAATGCTCTAGAACTGATTTTTATTTCCTCTCAAAGCCCTTCCTTCCTATAAAGGGGAGTTTCAGAGAATTGCCTTCCTAATCAACAGAGGTGAGGCCTTAATTTATGTCTAAGGGAAGGGTGCAGGAGTTTGGAAAAGAGTTGCAAATTAATCGAATCTGTGAGATCAGTTCTGACACTACCTATCAGAAACATAATATTAAAATTGCCCAAGGGAAGAATTTCATGAGAAAAGTGACACAAAAGAAAATGGAGGGTGTGTAACACTGCTGGGACTGCATCTGGTACCAGGCAAAGCCAGTTCTCTGCCACAGGGTATGTACATACAGCCATTCACCTGGTGTGGTTGCTAGAGGGGAATAAATGGGAGGATAAGAAATCTCCAACTAAAACTCACAGGCAAATTCCTACTGAAACACATTGTACCTTTATCATGCATGGATTTTTTAATGACTGTTCTCAGACATGAAACTCTGAGTAGCTAAATTAGAGAACTCATCACATTTTGCTAGCCTTCATGAGAACATGGTCTGTGTCTAATGAAACCTTTAGATTATTCCTAATGCTCCATCCACCTTGCTTGTTCTCTTGATGCTGGTCATAAATAAGGTGATCCTCAGTGTCTACAACAGCCAGGAACATTGACAGAGATATTCTCTGCAGCGACAACAGACTCCACTAGTTAGAACAAGCACTGGGCAGCCATGACTTTGAGGCTTTAGTCCTAGACCTACACAGCCTTTGGCTGCATGCAGACAGCCAGACTCATTTGGGTTAAACTTTTGGATCAATTTTTCCCCAACAGCCTTTGGCGGCGCTGCAGGGTAAGAAATACAGGCTCTCTTAGCCCGCTTTGCTACAAACCTGTGGTCTGCAGCACAAGCTGCAGCAAATATGAGAGGAAGGACAAACTGGAGCCGAGGTTTAACAGCTTGTCCCAGTATAATCATTTTATGTAGGAAATATACTGTCTGCTGAACTACTTTTCTGTACAATAATTCAAAATCAGAGTTAAAAGGTAAGAAAAGGCCAATCAAAAAGAATCAAAGCTTAAGTATTTCTTATGAAATAAGAAATTATTTCTCATCAGCTGAGAATCTGGCTTCTTTTAATGGAAATTCAGTGTTCTGTAAACATACTGGAATGGTATCAAGGGAAATTGCAGTTTCCCCAAACTTCTGATTCACAGCAGAAGACCAATCAGGCCAATACAAATGCCCTGAATTCTTAAATATATTTAAATCCTCTGCCAGAGAGACAATCAGTCTGGGAAAAGTAGCAGTCTTTGCTCTGCATCCCCAGTTCAGAACCCAGTCTCCAGGTCAAACTTGTCAGCCCTGCCAATAAGGGAGCATGCTAGTTTTTGTCACTGGTTTTTATGATGTGGCCATTTGTTCAAGAGATCAGAAAGACAGCAAACTCGTTTCACATAGGCTACTGAAAGTGCATATATGGTGACACTAGTAATCACTAGTCATTTCAACGAGACAGAAAACATGAACACACTTAAAGGGACATCAGGTTTGATTGTTTTACAGTTTTGTTACAGATATCTTTCCAAAGTGGTGGTAACTTCTAGTTATCTTCAGCAGGAGAGACCTCTGTATGTTGAAATGTCTTTGTGATATATTTTGATGAAAATTACATAGAATGCGCTGAAACAACAGTCCCTTATATTTTTAATATAGTAGCAAAAGCTATGCCTTAACTGCTTATTTGTATGTTAATGAATGCAGGCTAGCGGAAATAGCATATATATGAAGCCTCTGTTCACAACTTCCGGGTTCATAAGTTACCAATTATTGTGAAACTTAGGTATCATCTATTTATTTATGACTGCTTTACTGTCAGTTCTCAATTTCTGATGCATATTCCTGAACAGTTTTATGAAATAAAGCCCTAATCCAGACCCCAAGATGCAGCATTTTCCAATTCACAGAAGCTTCCATGGTTCACATTTTTTTTGCTGTAGACTTATGGTAGTCTTTCCAAAACACTGAGAAGAGAGAAGAGAAAAGGGTTTAGACCTCAAAAGCTCCTAGACGCCTACAGATAGTGATAGGTGTTGAGTGGGATCTTCCAAGTGCTATCAGAAAGCCTACAAGAAAATGTTTCCTACTGTAGGATTTATAACCAAACATTTCAGAATACACTGAAATATATTGGAAACAATATTTCTTTGGTTCACATTTGCTTGGTAAAAAGCATAAGGCTTGACTTAATGGTACTTCCAAACAGGTAAAGAGACTGAGCCCCACATCCCAGTACAGAAGATAAGAGTCACACAATCTGTACTCCTAGATGTCAATATTTGCCAGTGGTAGTAGTTAATTTGACATTAGGTACCAGTAACACCTACCTTTTCTGCCCACTTTTGGCTCAGCAGCACAATATATGTTCATGGGTTTACCTGAGGAATTTGTTAAGATCTCCATGCTTCATATATTCAAAGACCATGATGAGCGGATCACCCTCAACACAGACGCCATAGAACTTGACAATGTGCTCATGCTGCAGGTTAGTGAGCAGCTCTGCCTCACGGTGGAAGTCCTTGCGGGCATTGTCGCTGGCATCCTTCAGTGTCTGATGGAGAGAATGAAAATGTAAAGGACAGATGTTCACAGAAGGTAGGGAACATGTAGGACAGCACTGTAAGGGTAAGACACGGACATTCTACAGCACAGAGGATGAAGTAAGTATTTTCTTAATAACTCTTTTAGAAATGCAGATGTGATCCTTAAGTGCAATTAAAAAATGGCAGTGCAGTTTTCATTCGCCTGCCACATGTTATCCTAAACAACATTTTTTCTTGTAAGAGGATGTAGGAATACTCATGCTCTTGCTGTGGCAAGTGTTTTCCAAACACAGAGCAAATAAACTGATCTCATCCAAAAATATACTCATACACAGCTGGTTTGTATGCTTTAGCATCTAACTTATGGAACCCCTAGTATCCTGTTTGCATTTACCTTTCTTGTTAGCTCCTTAAAATAAAACTCTGCTTGTTTAAAATACTTGGTGGTAACATAGATGTATTCTTTATGTATTATTAGCGTCACTGTTGCTGTTAGTCCCCATCGTGTGCTACACATTAGGTAGATTTACACAAGCTTATGTCCCTAGATCGGAACTTACAACCTAAGCCAGAAACTCCTGTAAATCTATTCACATGCCTAAAATTAGGCATAAGTAACTGCAGGATCACTCTTGAAGTGATAGGCAGAGAGGAAGGCAGATGCAGATCAGAATTCTGGAGTGTCACTTTTTCTTACCTCTTTTTATTTATATAGCTCTAAATTCTTGCACATTTTAATTTTGAAAGAAATATATCAACATTGGATCAAATAGGAGGCTTAAATGTTGTATAATGAAATAATATTAATTAAACTGTCAAACACAGGCTGTTTCAGATTTCTTCTTAAGAACTACAGTTCATGAACAAATCAACACTTTCATGCACCAAAAAAAGAGGAAGTTCTGACACCAGTTAAATGAGGAATAATTACAATTGGCAATAAACCACTAATAGACTCTATATTCAAGTGGTATAGTGGTTTCACTATAATAGTTCAAACAATATTTTTAAAACTGCAAAGGAAAGATGGCAAGTTACCAATGTTCACATATTATTCTTCACAGAAACTGCTGTCTGGGCTCTCTACATCTGGATTTTAACAATACCTAGGCTTAATACAATAGAAGACAAGACACAAAAGTAGTTGCAAAGTTTTAGCTAAAGATGCTTTCTCCTGGCTATCTAGTCACTTTATTTTCCATCTTGAATTAATATACAGAGCATGGGATCAACCACATTCATCAGAAGAGACACAGAACAAACTGATACTGTGCAATCATTCTACCAACAAACTGAATTTTCAGCTACAATAGTCATGGTCGGTTCAAGATTTTTGTTCCATAGAGACAATTCTGCCCATTTTTCTAATATTATATGTATGCATGTGCAACGTACAGACTCGTAGATGACCGTCATTAAAAAACACTTGCTTTACTTGTGAAACTGCAACCCCAGGTCTTGAAAATGAAAAGCTACCACAACAAGATTCAGATGGGGGAACAAGGAGCAGGGCAGATTAGATAGCTGTCTTCCAAGTTCACGGGCTTTTCCCTGTGGATTTCAGGCTCTGTGGATTCTAGAGGCAAGAGAAATCACTTATGCCACAGTTGTCCCTTCCCTGAGGGATGGACTTATGAATCTTAAATGTCTTCAGGCCCAGAATCCTTCTTTCGTAAGTTTTACCAATAATGATGCAACAAGGATATTGCATCGTCAAGGCTTCACAAGTCAGTATACACAGCTATATCATGTATATCAAATTTGCTGCCCACTATAGTCTACACACAATCACGTCTGAACCGAGTGAAGACATTTCCAAGCTCTGGGATGCGGCTTTAACATGATACAGGCACCAACCCACAGTCCAGTCTACATTATATGTAATGAAACCACGGGGAATAATTCTGTTGTCATTTGAGTTTCCTCTGGTAGTTTAATGTATAAAGTGATTGGACTGTAATTCCTCTCAACAGAATTAGAAAAACAATTCATATAAACCCAATTTTTAAATAAAAGCAACCTGGAAAAAAACTGACAGGGAGAAACAGAGGCTGATCCTCTTTCCAGTGGGTTCTTTCCCTGGAAGGACAGTAAAAATGCTGACAGCTATGCCCTGTGAGGATGGCATATTGCATATTTGAGAAGATGCTTTTTATCTCACAGAAACTGCAAAATTATCGTATGACAGAGCAGTTGCCATGGCAATTCTGCATTTTCTGTCAAACAGAAAAATGCAGAAAGGTCTAAAATTCAGGTAAAACTCATGCAGTATTTCACCAAGGGGTGACTTGAATTTTTATCACCCACCATTGCAAAATCTTCTTTTTGTTATTTCATGCAGTGCATAGAATAGACGCAATGCATGAGAGAGAGCTGGCACAGTCAGGCAAAGAGGAGACTGGAAGGTGAAAAAAATTATAAGTATGTAGAATTTACTTAGAAATGACACTGACTAATGCATTTAACTTGATCTCAGCACAAGACAAAAAAATAAAACCAAAATAAAACCGTAAGAGCACTAAAAGAGAAAAAGACATATTAATTACTATTATCATTACTGACAACTGCGCCAAAGCTCTGCATACAAAGCACTCTCACCAGTCGACACGAGGTGTTCCCAAGTAGGATCTGAGATTCAACCACATGTACCTTCCAGCCACTCAAGCCAGCATTAAGGAAGAGGGACAGGCTTCCTGGGGCAACAGAGGGAGCTCCCGGCCCTCATAGAAGCTCCACATCTGCCGAGTTCATCATTGTGACAGTTGGACCACTACCCCTTGCTTAGTCTCCACTACAGAGTCCCTGTCCATCTGGTCTGTGCAGACTTGTGCTCTGTAGTGAGTGTGAACTGCCAGCTCCTTACCCCGTGCTGACACCAAAAAGCTGCATTCATGGGCAAGTCAGAGCAAGAAGAGGAGAATATGGTTGTCACCAACATCAGCAGGACTTGGTATCGAAATTCTCATGACATATGACCTTTCTACTGTTCCAGCCTTCCCCTATGAAACCATTGCTACTGCTCCTCAACACCATACAAAGCTGAGTGGTATGTGTCCTCAAGAAACGAAGGGATGGTTTTCTACCTTCTTGGAAATGAAGATCCAAAGATTTGGAAACCTTTGGTTTTCCTGTGTGGGTGCCATGGAAATGTTCTTGATCTCATGCACATAGCAGTCTGCTAGCTGAGCTCTATCCTTGAGCAGAACAGGGTGAATCCCCTTCGAACCTCCCAAGGGAGGCAGAGGCAGCTGCTAACCTGTGCCTTGTCAGTCAGTCTCACTTCCAGCTCTGGACAGGCTAAGAGATTATGCCTAGGGATCCAATCCTGTGAGGAGACAGCACTGAGCCAGGCCTGAACAACCACAGTGGCACAGCAAAATGCCTCTCAAGGAAAGAGTAACTTTTCCTTCCTCCACCTTCTGTTCTCTAAAAGTGCCTACAGCAAATAGTGTGCTGAAACGATGTGGTAATTAACTCACATGGGGGAAAGCTAGTACAATGCCCATGCTCACAGGGTTTGTCCCATGGCAAGCATTTCTAAACATTTTGTGCTGCCCTCAAAAGACTAAACTAATCAAAACTAATTTAAACGAATTGTCTTTCTCCTCTCCCAAGGAGCAAAAGCTCAAGCTCTTTGTGCTGTTTATGCTAAGGCTGATCTTTTTTTATCTTCCCAGAGTTTTCTGGGCCTCTTAGCTCCTAAATAATTTGCTGCAGCATGTCAGCATTTTGGATACCAGCTGGCTGAAAAGAAGAAGCAAACGTGTTGAGTTATAAGGAGAGATGCTCAGAGCCAGGCATGAACCTTACAGTTGTCCAGCAACTGGCAGGCACAGGCAGCTGCCAGGGACCACCAGCATCCTGAGAGACATCGTGCAGGTGAGACTGTGCCTCCTTGCTGCTGAAATCCCCTTGGCACTAGCTCTTACTCCTCACCAAGTACATATTCCACTGGTCTCACCAAATCTATGTCATGGTGATGGATGTGTTCTGGTTTTGCCCATGGGCTAAAGCTCTCTAAAGCCCTTGCTGTGTGTCAGAAGGAGCTGCCGTTGCTGCTGGCAGAAAAGTCTGCTCCTCTAAGACTAAAACTAAGACACTGCCAAATCCTGTGCTCAGCACTGGGATCCAAACACAGTCCTCTGGATAGCTGTCTGCACTCCAGTTAGGTCCCATCCCTTGACCTCCACTGTGACTGAAGGATACTTGTGATCTATGTTGGTACCATAGGAAAAGAGAGAAGTGTTAGGCAATTAACCCCTCTTACATAACAATCAATCCAGTGGCTCAGTTCACCAAAAAATTTGCTCTTTGACAGCAGCCAGAGTCATGTCTTTAAGAGCCAATGGCAGAAACATAAAATGGGCATAACCTGTCCCCAGAGATAATTCTT